ACAATTTAGGAAGTTCTTTTACAGTTCTTGCCTGGATTGAATACTTTGTGGCTATTGCTGCTGGAGCCCGTAAGGGCTCATAATATGGCTCAATTATTGCGATGTGTCGCGCAAAGGCCAGTCCATATTTTTCGTTAATATTCCCTTCAACTTCAGATTGTGCCACAAATTTAGGACACACTCCTTGCCTTTGTGTTTCAAGTGGTACTTGAGAACTATCAGTGGTTAAAATAACTACCAGTAGCATTATCATTAGTGTAAAATCAACGGCGTGAACCATTCGGTTCCTCAAGTGCATGGTATACGGTGGAACAGGAGGGGCAAGGTGAAGGGCCTGATTAAGGTGGATGGTTAGCGGTGGTAGAGCAGCCCGTTGGAGTTTACAAAACCCCGGAAGGCTGAGGAGGGCCGGAATGTAGGGGCGTACCGGATGGAGCGATTGACTGGTGGTGGTGCTCAGGACATTATAGCTCCGGTATGCAGCAGCAGCCAAGGCACATGCAAGGTGCACTTCTTATATTCTCCTTTTTTCTACCTCTCCTTCAATCCCACTTTCTATTTTTCACAAAAGCACTGATGCATTACCCTGGCCAAACGCATTGTTCTCTGATGGTGCTGTTCTTCGTGGTTCTGGGAACCATAGCGGGAGCTGATATCGGATCGAGCGATGCCCCGGCGACTGCCGGCATTGTTGGCTTGCCCATTTCAGGCACGAGCGATGTTTCCAAACGTCCCCTCCTCTAGCTTATGGTGTAGCCACTAGGCACAGCATTTCGTGAAAAAACACATTCTATTCATTATTATCCAGTAGTTACTATCATGTTTATCTATATTGAATTTGGTTAAAAATCTTGGTGGCAAGAATTTTGTTCAGTATCTCTTTAAATTTATTCTACATTTTGTTATTTCAAAATGAAAAAAGAATATTATGAACTAGGTTTATTAGTTGTAACGTGCAACTGATTTCTTGAATATGAACTTGTTGACTGACGTATTTTAGCATACTCACTGCGGCTATTGCAAATATTTTGGCAATATTTCTAGTCTACAACAGCCCAATTATTCACAGCACTATCGATAGTATTATTGGCAGTAATACTACTGATGGTACTACCGATTTCCTTATGCTATTAATGGTTAAAAAAATACCAACAGTACTATGGATAGCCATTGTACCAATAGTTTTGCATCGCTAGTTTGGAGCGCGGCGTGGCATGGGTAACAGAAGATATCTGCATTACCAGCTTTGCCAATTGGCTAATAAAAGATTGCAAGAATGCCACAACACGAGTGGCAACATTCTCTACCAAGCAGACACTGCAGTGTTAACGGTCAGCGGTGTTGCACAGGGTTACGAAGCAATTCTTGAATAAGTGGCACTCTAAAGTGCCAGTTGGCGCTTCAGAGGCAAAACAGGGTGTAGGAAGTCCACATGCAATACACGATTTATGTTTAACCAGAAACGATGGTAAGCGAAGTATTACAGACAACTTGTGGTCCAGCAGAATGCCACAACCAACCTGCCAGATCATTTTGAGCACACTGTTGAAGAGCTAATAGCTTTTTAGGGGCGAAGCTCCTTATAGCGGCACTCGTTTGTTCCTTGTAGCTATTGTAGTGTGTAACAAGTATAACATTTTGACCTCCAAGGTGGTGCCGGTGAGAGATTTCTTCTGTGCGTTGTTGAACAATAAAAATAGTGCTCAATGTACATGCCAATGGCTGCTAATGGGGAATGAGAGACGGGAGCATTCGGCTTTTAGTTAACGCGCACGCTGCGATCCCCATTAGCAGCCATTGGCATGTACATTGAGCACTATCTGACAAGAAAGGGTTGCTACGTTATACTCGCTGGGTGTAACCTCCTTAGCATTAGAAAGGTTTAGCAAGCGTTGAGCCGCAGTGCCATGAATACAATGAACTAGTATATACCATGAACTCGAGGTGGTTAAAGGTGGGAAGTAGATACGAAGCGCAAGGCGTAAGATAGTAAAAGCCGAATTCTCCTGTCTCTCATTTCCCATTAGCAGCCATTGGCATGTACATTGAGCACTATATGACAGGAAAAGGTTGCTACGTTATACTCGCTGGGCGTAACCTCCTTGGTTTTAGAAAGGTTTAGCGAGCGTTGTGCCGCAGTGCCATGAGTACAGTGAACTAGCATATACCATGAACTCGAGGTGGTTAAAGGTGGGAAGTAGACCCGAAGAGCAAGCCGTAAGAAAGTGTGCGTGTGCCACCTCACGTTTAGTCCTTGGAATGTCCGCTGGATGGCGGTGCTTCTATATGGGGAATATATGATGAAAAGATGCGAGATGGTGGTACTTGGAGTGTTGAATAGATGGACGAACGGACACATAGACAGATGCATGGATGGACGCATGAACGGACGCAGGGGCGGCTGCATGGACGAACGCAGGGACGGACGGACGTATGGACGGTCACACAGACGTACGCATGGACGGATGGAAGCAAGAACGAATGGACGGACGAATGCTTCTCCCCACTCTCCATCATTCACTCCGTGGATATGCTGCCATTTTTTTGTTCTAAACACACAGGCGCTGCCGATACCTGCAACTCATATATTGCGCTATGGAAACGAAAGAGGGTCGGTAAAGAATTAGGAAGCGGTAACGAATACACACACTCTCATCAAAACTGATGTGAGAGTGACTCGGAGGCGTGCTCCGGCAAGCGGAAAAAAGACATAAGACCGCGACGAGGAAGACTCAATATCGATGAGATGCCAATATCCTGTCTCCTCCTTTTTAGTCCAGGTGGGATGCTGTTTATCAGAAGTTCAGTATGTACCAACAAGCCCACATTAATCCTTTGCATCTGTTACAGATACACGAGAGCGGATATGTCACGGCTCATGACGTCATCGTGATAACAGGGCAAAACTGCGCTTCGCCTCGGTCTTCTCATCTCTCCAGACGCATCGCAGAAGTACTCCTGTAGGAAGAAAACTGGGGTCTGCTGAATAAGTTCTTAGAATTTTACATTTGAAGGGCTAGAATGAAAGAAATAACGCCTTTAAGTATAGAGAGGGACAAAAGTATCATTATGCATAAAACCATAACGAAGAGGAAAACGAAATAACTAAGAAAAAAAACCATTACCTTTTAAGCAGCGGTGGCTCCACGCTTGTTACTCAACTCATTTATCCTAGCTGTGATATGCCAGTTGTGATGTAGGAGTAATATCCTCCTCAATCGGTAGTAGAAGCATAGTAGCTAAGGTGTTCACTAGCACCGACCAGTGTCAGCATCAGGTATACCACTTCAAAAAATTCACCGCAATATTTTTTTTTCTTTTAGGGGCAAAGCTCCTTAAAACGGCACTCGTTCGTTCCTCGTCGTAGTGCGTAACCAATCTTACATTGTGACCTGCAAGGTGGTGCCGGTGGGAGATTTCTCCTGTGCGTTGTTGAACAATAAAAAATTCGCAGCGTGCGCGTTAACTAAAAGCCGACTTCTCCTGTCTCTCATTCTCCATTAGCAGCCATTTGCATGTACATTGAGCACTATCTGACAAGAAAGGGTTGCTACGTTATCCTAGCTAGGCGTAACCTCTTTGGTTTTAGAAAGGTTTAGCGAGCGTTGGACCGCAGTGCCATGAATACAGTGAACTACATATACCATGAACTCCAGGTGGTTAAAGGTGGGAAGTAGACCCGAAGTGCAAGCCGTAAGAAAGTGTGCATGTGCCACCTCTCGTTTAGTCCTTGGGATGTGCGCTGGATGGCGGTGCTTCTATAAGGGGAATATATGACGAAAAGATGCGAGATGTTGGTACTTGGCGTGTTGAATAGATGGACGAACGGACACACAGAAAGATGCCTGGATGGACGTAGGGGCGGATGCATGGACGAACGCAAGGACGGACGTACGAACAGACGCACGCACGGACGGTCACACAGACGGACGCATGGACAGACGGTAGCAAGAACGAATGGATGGACAAATGCTTCGCCCCACTCTCCATCATTCACTCCGTGGATATGCTGCCAATTTTTTTCATTTTACTGTGCTCCCCTCTGACGTATTGGGCTGGGTCAACCGATATCACCAGAACGAAAGCCTTTGAGATTTAAAGGCATTTCATGACTTTACCGCTATAGGAAGGGCACATGTACCTTGGAGTAGTGAGAAAAGTGGATCGGTGTTGGTTCCCCTCACTTTGCAGCAATGCCATCTCCAAAAAGCAATTTTTCTCAAAATATTTCTCATTACACTTCCCTGTATAATTTTGTGCAAGTCTTCCTTTTTTTCGAATCTTGTTTCTTGCTCGTAATTTTAGTTCTCAATACATGTATCTCGTTTGAGGGTATATGCTACACCCAAGAAAATTAACCTAAATTGGTGTGGTCATGGCTGTTGTGAGGCTCTGCAGTTCATTGCTGCCTCAGTTTGCTAAATTAACGCTTCCTAAGCTCTGCCATTGTCCTTGGGCAACAATAGGACCACAGGCTTTCATACTGTTCCGGTGAAGCCAAGTCAATGCTGGGCATTTTTACCAAAGCCTGTGCCAACCCTTGCCAGACAAATGTGACCCCAGTATCGAGCAAAATAGGCGTGCACCATGCAAGCAGAACTATTACAAACTCGCCCAAATATGTTTTTTTCTAAACCATAATCGCACGAGGTTTCAGCTTTTCTCGTTCACTATCTGTACAAGATGCCTGGGTGGTGAACAAACACGCGATGAATCATGATGATACTTTTCTATGGACATATGGCAAAACTTGAATGTAATAGCTCTGCTGCAATAAAAGGTTCCACACTAACGAGATGACTGGCTCGATATACTGGAGTGAGCAAACAAAGTGCGAATAGAGAAGTACTTAGGCAATAAAGCATAAAGGCCTCCATACATTTATGTTCCATTTATTTACAATGCACGCTTCACACACTTTACCTGGCTGTTAGACTCAAAATAGCTCCCATATGCCTCTTTCATAACTGGTCGAATTCAATATGTAGCCAGAAAATAAGTTTAGGAGGTTTTGACATGTTTATTTACAGACCAAAAGCAGAAAGTAACAAAAAATATATTGCAGTGCCATCTAGAATAAATGCTGCTACAATACCTTGAATAATGGGGCGTTATCATGAGAGCCTTGTTTTATTTTTTTTTTGGTCCTAACCTTCCAATACAATATTTATGAATTTTCTCCCAGTGTACCACCTATACAAAGCAAAAGTATGACGATCAAACAATGACGCAGACAATGCCAATCAGCCTGGAAAAAAAAAAAAACGAATGCGAGCCAGCAATGCATTCCTTAGTTTCTAGCTCACTTGTCAAGCACGTATAAAAAAAAGCTGCTCTCAGTCGGCTACTTCATTCATTTTGGATTTCAGGTCTCGCTCGAAAACCTTCTTGATGTCGCAAAAGCCCTTGCGAGTCTTGCCAAACGAGTTGGGTCCAGCAGATGTAGGAGTGTCCCTGCATGTGACAAAAAAAAAAAAAAAAAAAAAAAAAACTGTCAGCCCCCTTCCTTTTATCATCTAACAGGTCTGCCCCGTTACCTGCCGATGTTTCGCATGCGCATTTTCGCCTCGGGTGGCATCTCCTCTTCTTCCTGCAGTGGGCAGCGTAACCGTTCGGTCACTGTGTTCAAACAAACTTCAACGAGGACAGTAAAAGATAACTCACATCACTGCTCTGGTTGAAGGCCTCGGCGACAGATAAGCTAGAGCTCTTCTTCACGGTTGTCTTCTGCTCTTTGGATTTCTTTGGATAGGCCCGGTGAAAAAGAAGAAACATGTAGGCAGTCAATAGCAGCCTAGTTCGGGCAGGTTTATACATTACTAGGGCATGAGAAACATGGTTCAGACTAAAGAAAACGACATGCTAAAAAAAAACAACAAAAAAGGCCTCACCGACTGAATAACTTCAATGATTGTTCCCAGTGAAAGTCTATGATCATCGCCAACCACACAATGGCAAGACACATTCAAGAAACTTGGTATTTTTTGAGCAATAAAGCGGAAAGTTTACCGTAACGAAATCGAATATACTTATGGATAGTGAATAGTGTGGTAAAAAAAAATAAAAAAAATAAAGGAAACATCTCATCCAGCTGCCTGCACTCATGGAGCCCATGACAGATTTTGACAGACTCATGATCTTTTAAAGAAGTAAGCAAAAACTGAAATGCAAGATTTCCGAAGCATTTCCTTTCCTCAAGCACGGCCAATCCTGCTTCAGTAAGTGCTACGCAAGCTTGCTCGACGAAAAGTCATGATACAATAAGCAAAATTCAGCTGTTATGCACTCAGTGACGACTGCATAAATGTTCGACTTTTATGACAAAAAAAAACACTGCTGTTGGCAGTCCGCAGCGATATATATATATATATATATATATATATATATATATATATATATATACACATACATACACACACACACACACACACACACACACACACACACACACACACACACACACACACACACACACACACACACACACAGAGTACCTATCATCCACAAACAACAAAAGTCATCGCAATACAATGATAAAGATTAACTAGGCCCCCTAATCACATCACACCACTTTATTTCCTTAAAGACCCCTCAAGGAGGTATTACATCAGGGGTGGGTATACAGTGTGGCCCGGTGAATTCACTCAATAAGAAAGTTTGTTGCATTGCCTAAGAAGTTTGATGGATTAGTGTCACAAACGACTCCAATTTTCGGAGCATCCGCGGGCCCCACCTTCAAGGAGGGGCGCTTTTGTGTTGGGGGACGACATCCGGCGACTATAACGACCCAACGTGGCGCCGGCTCGTCTTCCCTGCACCGGTACCGGAAGGGGCACCGGCGATCTAAACAAGGAATATTACTCCCAGATGAGACGGGAGCACGTGTACGCCCCTGAGGCGGTTTGAACTGCATCGGAAGAGCAGTTGACGTACAGCCAGCAACAAGTGCGGTCGTCGGTGTTGCGAGTCTCGCGTAGGCGGCGAGCACGGAGTGACCCGCGCAACGTATTGAGACGGCTGCAATTCCGGGCACCCTCGTCGTCTACCAAGCCGGCGAGACCTTCAGCGGCACCCGTCAACTCCCCTACGTGCACCAAGAGCTGGCCTGGTCCGTATGGAACTTTTTATTGTGACTTTTTTTAAACTGCTAAATTGTTTTAACCAGCCTTTTTTTTTTAACTGTGTAGATGTGTGCGCTGCGACGCACATAGAAATTCAAAAGCGTGACCAATGATCATTATGTAATTATTTCCTTGTAACCCTTTTTTACGATTTCCATCTTGTTGTTATTTTATTAATGTTCCGCATATTTGTCTTTAGTTGGTATCTTTTGTAGTGTTTTTTTAGCATATTTTGTTATATAGCTGTTCTTTCCATCGCGCGTATCAGTTTTTCCTTCTTTGTTATTTTTGTAATCTCCTGCGTTTGCCCCTGTTTTAATTAAATGTTTGTCTAAGTGTAATCAAACTCTGTGTCTGCTCTATGAGTGCGTCGGTCAGGCTCATTCATCACCACACGTGCAACCCCGCACGGGTCGACCAACCTACAAATAAATTTGAAATGTGCTACTTCGAGGCCTTTCAGGCGTCGCAGGCCGAAGCGTAAAGTGGAAGCTTGCGAGTCTGCCGCACGTCGGTGTTGGATCGGCGGGGCCTCACCCGAAGTGCGTGACAATTAGTAATGACTGCAATGGTGTGGCAAAAACCATTCCAATCTGTTGCTGTTTGGGGGAAAAATGAAGAGGAAAATGTGAGGGTGCGAGCACATGGGCGTGACACTTGCAGTTCATATCCGCGGCGATGAGGTATGCCCCTAAGGTGAACGATGTAAGGTGGATGACAGAGATCACTGTAATAAAATTTGTGGAATAAAGATAGCGTGGCAATATGACGACGAAGACAGATTAGACAAACCGGATTCCGCTTTCAATAATGATACGCTAGCTCGGTAATGATAAGTGGATGAATGAATGAATCTAGCAGCACAGTTTTGGACTGCTTCCAGGGCAGATGTGAGGTAGGATTGGATGCGTACTCCAGTTTCGGTCTGATGAGCGATTTGAAGGCTAGTAGTTTTACGTGCGTGGGGGCATGATAAAGGTTGTGTTTCAGGAATTCCAGTGTTTTATTGGCAGATGCTCAATATTTGTAATATGAGTGCGCCAAGATAGGTCATTGCATAAGGTCACCCCCAAATATTTAAATGAGTAAACGGCCTCGATGCGAACACCGGAAATTGAATACGGAAAAGAAAGGGGAGCAGAACATCGAGAGAAAGATAGATTTACATTTACTAGGATTTAGAGTCGTTAGCCATTGCTGGCACCAGTCTATTACGTGGTTAATATCGGTCTGTAAAGCATGTTGGTCAAGAGTTATTTATAGTTGAATAGATGACGCAGTCATCTGCGAACATTCTGATGTTAGCTGAAACTGTTGAAGGCAAATTATTAATATAAATTAAGAACATAAGGGGCACAAAGACGGATCCTTGTGGCACACCTTTTTCTGGTGTGCTTTGTGTGTGGGGGCCAATTAATCATTTAGACATCAATGTCAACAAACGTCAAGGCTTTGAACCAGGCGTGATGTCATGCAAAAATAGGAACACACTTGAAGTTAACCAGCTTACGACATCATATTCGTATGACAATGGGACAAATAACCACCCAACACCTATTATGCTTATAATTCTTTCACAATACTCAGACTTCAGTTTTTTTTTGCTGAACCAATTACAAGTAGACGCTCGTGACGAGACTAAAGAAACATTCGCAGCTGCAAGCCTGCGTGCTTGCAGAGTAAATTAAAACCTTGCTTCCACTATCTACGAAGCCGTCTTGTCGCGGGAAACACCAGCAATGCGCCACGCGCTCAGAACCCATCAATGCTATTTACCGGTCCGCCGAACTTGATCAAGATCGGCGCTGGTCCGGGCTTTTTCTCCTCGGTTGCCTTGGCGCTGCTGAAAGTCCGGGAGAACCCCATGGTAAGCTTCGGCTTCTTGGGGGAATCGTCGCTCGCGCCTTCTCCGTCGTCGTGCTTTCGCTTCTCCGCGTCGGCGGGGCTCGTCGACTCCTGATCGTCACCATGGCGGCCTGACGCTACCGCAGTAGTGCCACCGCCTAGGTCAACGGCAAACACACTGGCAGGTTTAAAGCAACGGCTTGATTAATCAAATGCCGGCAAGTGACACGCCAATCAACAAAACACCACTGCGCTCCCGATAGCCGTGCTACGTCAGCCTATCGTGCAATGCTCCTACGCAGTCTCTAAAGCAAAAGAAAGCAAGATAACACACTGCTTATCACGCTACCCTACAGGATTCTCTCAACTACTACCAAGCATTCCACTACGGAAAGATCGGTTCTGCGGGAAAACGAGACCGCCCGAAGTTGTAGTCCTAAGTTTGCAACTAGCATTAGCGCACAAGCCGCAAGATCGGCAAATGCATCGAACCCAGCTACTCGAATGAGTCAGAAATTTAAAATTGTACAAGTGAGAAATGAACGTGCACCAAATTACCTAGACTAGCACTTCCTTTATCGTCCCAGCGACTTCTTCCAGTAGAGCTCGCCATTTTGCGCGTGGATTGTTGTTATTAGACGACAGGACCGCTACACTGCCAGGATGCGAGGAAACGGCCAAAACAAACTGTTTCGCATTTGTGTGAAAGTGGTTAGTATTTTTCTGATTGTTTACTCAAGATACACGCTTCAAGCATTTTTTTACGGTGGCAACTTTACTAAGAAACACATTCACGAACGTTGCGTTTTTGTCGACTATTTGAGGAAAAGTTTACGCAAGATGCAAATTAATTCGCGGCGGCGCTGCAGTCGTGCTTGCAGCTAGCATGGCGGCGGCAATAAAGGTAAGATTATCTAGCTGCGTTCATCCTAAGGCCTTCTCCGTTTTGCTTCGCAAATGTCGCGCTTGTTGCTGATCATCGTGTAGTTCATGCACCGGCCGAGCTAGCCGCTAAACTGACTCGCTTCGGCACTGCGAATCAAGTGTCCGTAAGGCCGGTCGCATCAGGTTTAAATGGCAAGTAAATGAAACGGCAGTTGATAGTTGTGAACAAACTTTTTTTAGTTTGACGGCTGCCCATACAATTGAAGGAAATTTTTTGTTTGGGATGTCTGCTTGTGGTTGAACAGTCGCATTCATTTCAACCCGCTCAGCGTAGTTTGGTAGATGTTTGATGGCCTTATGGTCGAATGACACCAAGAAATCGCGCGTTTCGCTCTGATGCAAGAGCGCCGCTTTAGGTTCGCAGTAATCTCAGAATTGTCCGTTGCGATAGTTTCTATTCTTGGCGCTATGGCGCAGTTCGTTTTGTGCCGGTGAACCTTGAATCTACGTCGCGCACTGAACTTGGGATGCTATGCGCATCGTAGGCTGTACAGAGCCCGCGATGCCTTTAGTTACTTGACAACACAGATTCACTCTGCATCGACGTGCCACAAGCTGGTTTTTTGTTAAGCTTACGCAGCTTCCTAAAACTGCGCAAAGAGAAATCAAGTACCCTCAACTCGCGCATTGCAATAAACGAATGAAACTTGGCGAGCGCCGTCATGACTTGGAAGAAACTCATGCAGGAAAAACCCCAGCTGCAGTTTGACGAGCGATGGCCCAAAATGCGGCCGACGACATTGAAGCTGCTTCACCAAGATCCCATCACGAGAGACGAATGGCAAGGATTGTTCTGGTGAGTTCCCATTCGAGATATTGTTTGAACGATCTGAATGACCCATTTTTCTCTAAAACTCTCGTTTGAGTTCGGTGCAAAACACTACAAAAAATTTTCTGGTACTATCAGTCTTTTGGTTAACTGAAACAAAATTATATTGTTAACCACGCATACATCTGAAGTGTATGAAGTCTTTGAAGTGTAAGAGCCAAACAGCATATAATGCACAAATGCATTGCCACAGGAAGCTGTGTTACGAAATATGTGAATTGCTGTAAAAATATACGAGAATAACAAATCATGTTGACTTTTTCGACCACTTTTATTTTTATGAATGTGTGTTTTTACTATGCAAATATATTTCATTTCCTTCATGACCTTTCATTTCCTTCATGTTCCTTCATGACCTTTGTAATCTGATCTTGCTCCTTCTGTTTATTGAATTTGCTGCCTCATCACTATTGCCTTGTGCACTTTCATTGTGTAGTCATTCCAATGTGAATGTCCAAAAGATGTCTCTTCTCATTGCCTTCTGAAACCGCCTTTGAAAAAGCAATAAGACTGCTGAAGACATCTGACCTGTCAAAATATCACACAGAAATGAGGCTTGGAAATAATTTAATCTGAATCTTGAAGTTCACGTGCATGATCCAGCGCTATACGCCATACCTCACGGCATTGATACCCTTGAAAGTGACTCGACGGTAGGCTGCCCGCTTCCCTGATGTCACCACACTTCAGCTGGTACAGCAAGTTATGATGATGTCATAATCACCATTTCTGTTTTTCCGCATTTTCACCAGCAGATTTCTTTTTGGCGGCTGCTCGCGAGTTCGCGGCCACGGTGCATGCAGTAAAAGTTTTGTGTTTGGTGGCACTGCTTTCCCGTTTCCTGTTCGAAAGGACTTCTTCATGGGGACCACGCAGAAGTGTCACAGTTGTGTATGCTGACTTGGTTGAGCGTTCCACATGCTAAGTTGTAGTAGTAGTTGCACCCAGTGGCTTGTCATTTTCGGAAATCCCGCAAAACAGGACTGAGACTGGTTAATAATAAGAAGTCTGTAAGTAATTAACTATTGTGCACTGCTGCAAATGATGTGTGTTATGACTAATAGGCCCACAGCAACATAATGCAGCAAAGAAATTCGAGGCCAAACTTTTAGTGTCGATACCCCTTTAGAAATGAACAAGAAAAGTATGCAATGTACTTTCGCTCGACAGTCGAGCGGCGATTCGGAGGAATCGCCACTAGACTCGCTTGTGGCAGAAAAGTCTATGTGCATTCGCATAGCACAAGCGAGCTACGTGGGTGAGCACACTTAACCTGTAGTAATGAGTGCGTCCGGAAAGCAAGAACAGGTGGGAAACTTGTAATAATCATTCGTCATATTAGCAATGAGATGGAAGTGGTTTTTATGAGTCTACGAGACAACAAACACAATGGCAGCGGCATCATTTGTGTCAGTGCCTGCACGGGAACAGGCATAATTGCATCCCGGAGATCAATAGACGGGAGAGTAACAAATTGGTCACCTTTTGAAAGATTCTAAATCGTAAAGCCACCAGTTTTGTGGGCACAAGCGGGAACCGGCCAAAGAATGAAGCCTGAACTAGCTGGCTGGAGCACCGCCGTAGTAAAGCAACTTTCTGCAGTGTGGCAGCACATGCCAAGGAAGAGCAGTGTAAAAAGAAAAGGAAGTACGCATTTAATACATACAGGCAAACACAAAATGTGTACGTATTACCGTCTTGTTTCTGTTAGCGGATGACGTACATGTATGTCTTTCATAGCTCCTGCCCTCTAGCTGCGCATTTTACAATTTTATTAACATTTTGGGTGCTTGATTATCTTTTTTTTAATTTGACTAATGGAGCACTGATTAAACATTGACATATTTACTTACAGGGACATCCACGCAGTGTGCCTATGGGATGAGCGTGGGCCTTCAAAGGTCTATGCTGCTCTTCAGGAGGACATCCTTGAATTTATCAGTGTTGCACAGAGGGTCAGTGCTAGCCTCGGAACTTTTTTGGCTGTTTCTATCGAATAAATCTGCAAGAAAATATAGACCCACATTTCCTGATGATCAATTTCCACATTTATTGTGGTAGCTCTTTGTCATTAGCTCACAATCATCTGTGCCATACTTTGAGATGAACCTCTTTGCATGCTGACTTACAAAAAAAAAAGGCACACGTCGGAGAGATGGACTGATTACGGGCCCTCGCAGAAATAATACAATGCCACCATGTTTGGGAGTTCCCTGATGGGCAACACATCATGGGAGTGTCAGTGTATATGAAAATTTCAGCTTGTCCAAAATGTGAATTGGTTAAAATCATGTTCATTGTTTTGCAAGGGAATGCTTTTCGGAATTTCCTATGGCAATATTTGGCTCATCTGTAATGTGTCCCTTTATTAAAGTAATGCATCCTTTTAATAAAGTATGGCTTCTTATACAATGCAGTGGAAATTTTTATAAACGAGAGAAACCAGAGCACTGACCTTTGTTTTGGCTGGTCTTCATGATGTCTAGTAAGTCTTTGGTGATGCAGTTTTTAGTTACTGAGCTCACATCCACAATTTTTTACGAATTTATGTGCTAACAGAGCAATGAAAGCTGCACCTTGAATGCTGTTTTAGTAATATAAACAATGGTACCTGGCTCTCCTGCCTTTCACTTTAATATGGGTACCAACGGTTATCACTTTATAATAACATGTGATGTAGGTACTTTCAGCTCCAATGCACATAGAGTGATCCCTGTGTAAGTGGTTCATTTCCTGGCCACAGCAGCCAGATTTCATTGTAGCAGCAAAAAATGCAAAGTAGAGACTCCCATCTCCTTCAGTGAACGTGTATTTTGAAGAAACCCAGAAGGTTTTAATTAAATTCATAGTCACTCAGCACAACTCGCCTTTTCATCTTAAACGTGGATTTGGCTTGTGAAACCCCCAAATTTGTTTTGTTTATCACCTGGTTTTGCTTAGTGCTTTGATGCACCTGTCTTCCTGTGGTATCTTTGCAGCGTGTGCTGGAACACCAGGAGGACCAAGCCCTGCTAAATGCATACATCAAGGAGTGGCGAAAGTTCTTTGTGCAGTGTAGCTACCTGCCCATGCCCTTTGGGCAGCTGGAGACGGTGCTGGCTGGCAAAAGCTTAAAAAAGACCGAGGAGGGCCTCGTTCGTAAGCTCATGCTCGACACCTGGAACCAGAGCATCTTCTCCACCATCAAGGTGAGCAGAGTCCAAGCACCAGTTGCAGAGAGTGGGTGGGCTTATGGGTGGTTCATTGTAATGAGACAAAGAAAAGAGCTTGCAAGCTGCATGTTTCATTTCAAGGGCGGCATGGAATAAAACTTTCACTGCAGTTTTAACTCTGTTGAAAGGAACTAGAGCCAAGCATTTTCCTGAGATTGTATTCATAGGAGCCTTGCAATGATTTTTGAGCGTAGTGAAAAAATGTGGCCGATCAATAGTTGAGGCATCGAGAAATGCCTGCCAAATATTATAGCAGAGTATGCGGCCTGGAATTGACAATAAAATATCAGTCAGCTAAAAATCGTTTTTTCCTATCTCGACAAATGATGCTACACACTAAAAAATCAGTGTGTCACAGGCCCAAGTATCATGCCATTGGCCGATTTGAGCATGGATTGAGGCCACCCCGATAGGGCATGATGTCTCCGCGTGTTCGCACGTATGCACTGAACAGCCGTTTCTTTGAAGAAAAAAAAAAAGAGAAAGAAAAAAGTATTCAAGGTCATAAAGCGCATGTGACGTACCTTCTTCTCTCGTGCCATGCTTCCCTGCTTAGCTTCCAGCGTTCTCTTCTGGTCGAGAGAAGAGCAAAAGCAATTGCAGTGTGCCAAAAATCTTTGTAACTCCACTCGTACTAGACGGATCTGATGAATTTTTGCAGCGGTCAATTCATGAGGCGATAAGTCCCTTTTCTGAATTCACTCTATGACTAGTTGGAAAAGTGTTGCAGAGCCCATTTAACACATTTATGCACATAGTCATTGTTTTCAGGGGTCTTATTTTTGCCATTCTGTCTAAGACTTATAAGCTCCCCTGTGTTGCTTACAAAATAGGAGTTAACAAGACTGAATTAATTTACAAGGATACATTTAGATGGTGAAAATATGCAAGAATACCAGTGTACTTAGATTTGGTGCGCATTGAAGAACCTCAGATGGTCAAAATTGATTTGTAGTCCTCCTCTATGGTGTGCCCTATAATCATACCGTGGTTTTGGCACTTAAAGTTTAAGACAATATTCTTAATTTCCTTGCTTTAATGCTGCATGCCTGGTGTTCCTCGGCCCCAAGCAACGTGTGTACTATCAGCGTGATGTGACATTCTTGGTAGCTTGGTAGTGAGTGCCATGTAGTAAAGAAAACAAACATATACAGATGAGGTCACAATTGCTGCCAATCTGTTTCATGTCATTCTGGATCAGGGAATCACTCTTCAAAAGTTGCAAGTGTTATTAGAGTGCAGTGGACTCTCAGTAAATGGAAATCTGTTAACCGGAATTGCTGCTTAAATGACACAACTATCTCTTATATGATCGGTTTAGTACTTGTATTATGTACCGCTGTTCATCTTTCAGTAAACAAAACTTCTGTTAAATCGAATATATTTTCCTAGTTCCTTTTGCTTAGTCTACTGTGTATACCAATATCTGGCTTCATTCAGTATTTTTCTGAAGGTAGTTAACCTCTGCGTTCTAGGGCCGTCTGCAAGCAAGTGCAATGAAGCTGGTGCATGCGGAGAGGATGGGCGAGACAATCGACTCTCAGTTGGTCGTTGGCGTGCGGGAGTCGTACGTGAACCTCTGCTCCAACCCGGAAGACAAGCTGCAGATCTATAGAGAAAACTTCGAGCGGGCCTACATCGAAGCGACTCGGCAATTCTACCGGGCGCAAGCACCCCAGTACCTTGAGGAGAATGGAGTCCAGAACTACATGAAGTACGGCGAGCCATACGGCTTTCACTTTTCACCGTGATGACCAACAAGTTCTGCAACCACTTAGGTTGAATTTTTTTACTGCAACATTTTCGGTGCAACGCCTACATTAGGAGCATTAATGCCCTTTTGTAGAACCTTTACAAACATTTACATGACTTGTTGACGTCGTTGCTGTGCAAAACGTGTTACCACAAGGAGGCACTTTATTGCAAAGGTTTGGTTTACACGTCGGAGATAAAGTGTGCAATTCTAATATACTATGAGAAGCAGCGTAAATAATGCCTTAGTAAACACTTTTCAAGTTCGTCTTTCTTGAGTCTGTGCTGCTGAGCTGCTCGTAGTGGTTCTAACAAAGCCACAGCAGCCTCGTTTCCTTGCGGGTGAATCGGAAAATGCTTGCATTCTTGAGAGAAAGAGAGAAGTAAACGTTTATTTAGAAAACAGTGTTCCGAGCGAGGCCTGGTGTCACCCTAAGGTGGGAGGGTTCCCTAGTTCAGGAACCTTCTGGCTTCGACTGCTCTCTTGACCCTGGCGACAAGTTGTCGCTGGTCTTCCAGGTCCTCGAGGACGACCTTGGTCTCCCACGTTTATTCTTGGGGCTTGGTCTTGCTCCAGTTGCACGTCGTGGTTTGCATGGCACTGGCATTCCAGGAGCAAGTGTTCCAGGGTGTCTTGTACGCTGCAGAGCGGGCACATGTAGCCATGTGTCGTTAGGTGGAGGCGGTGCAATAATATGCCATGTATGTAGGTAAGTATTGCTTTGTAGGCGTCTGAAAATCACGCTCTCTTCTTTGGTTAGTCTCTGATGGGGTGGAGGGTACACCCGTCGCTTCAGTTTGTAGTGTTGAAGTAGCGACGAGTAGGTGTTTTCTACTACCACCATCTCTGCAGCCACGGATCGGGTATCCTTTGGTCCCAGGCTAGCCTGGCTGACGTGCTCGCAGGCAGTGGCGTGAGCCGCTTCATTTCCCTGTAGGCCCTCGTGTCCAAGAACCCAGATTGCGCAGGTGTATGGAAGTGCATTCTTGAATAAACAAAAAAAGCCCGTTGCTTGAAATGAAATAAATCTTATGTCTTCCACTACAGTATGCCTTAAAATCGTACCTTGCTTGTACCATGTGATACCCAGACTTTGTTCATCCAATTTTTTTTAGAGTTGCTGTGTTTAAAGTTGAGTTTTTTTATCCTTCTTTGGACAGGTACGCAGAGCAGAAGTTGAAGGAAGAGGAACAGCGTGCTGCCAAGTACCTGGAGTCGCAGTCAGGGTCGGTGCCTGCGTTGACGGAGTGCTGTGTCAGCGTCCTGGTCACGGCCTTCCGGGAACCAATACTGGCCGAGTGCCCGGGCATGATTCGTGCCGGCGAGACGCTCAAACTGCAGCTCATGTTCGGACTCATGGATCGTGTGCCTGATGGCGTGCTGCCAATGTTGCACGACCTCGAACAGCACGTGCTCTCCCAGGGTCTGGCCGACATGCTCGCCTCGGCCGACATCATCACTCAGGCAGGCAAACTTTACACTGTCACGGCAACAAAAAGCATGGCTTAAAGGGACGCTAAAGGCGAATAACGATTTACGCCAGAGTGAAAGCTCAATGATTGGAATGTGCAAAACATCAACATTGTGAACAGCAGTGTTTTACTAATCAAGAAATTAAGGTAAATGTACACCACATGCGCCACGAGTGGGACATTTTTGAAATGGTACCAATGACATTAAAGCATCTGACTTCGATTAGTCACTGAGAATGAAACCAACTGCATTTAAAAAATAACCTTCCGTGCATTACAACACGTAATAATATGCTGCTTGTCCATTTATCTTTGAATCATCAAGAAAAGAACTGCCTGGCAATGCTATGGGGAATGGTGCAAGCATTTCAAAAGTTTTCGCTTGGTTTTAGCTGGATAGGTGGTGCAATCTAGTGTGGCCCAGCTGAACTAAGCAAGCAGAAAAGTTTTCAAAGGCCATTGTTGCTACTATGGCTCCCACTAATTTCGCTCTGCTGCTGCTAGTGTCAACAGCTGAACAGTAAGGGTGGGAAACGTTAGCCAAGGTAACTGCTACGTCAAGAGGTCCTTTTTTCAGGCGGCTGAGTTTATGTGCACTAGCATCGTGCGGACCACTAAAGTGTGATTTTATTTCAAAACAAGCATTTCCTTGGCATGAAAATGGCACTTCAAGGTTTCGGTACAGCCACTTAAGCATTCAATGTCTACTTAATCAACGCGTCTTTAGTGCCCCTTTAAACTACCAAGAGGTTGAAATTTACTTGTATTGCAGTTGTGCACGAGTCTACACCAAACATGTAGCTGGTGTAATTTTTCAAAACGAGGCCATAATAATGGAGTTTCACACGTTCAATAATCCAGAAAAGGCCCTCGCTCGCTTCACTTTCTATTGCTGTGTTGCATTCGTCGGCTTGCCTCCCGTCCTGGCCGTGTGCTCCTGCTCACTGTATGAGGTGGGAGAGCGACAAGGGTACTGAACTGCTAACAGACAAACAGGTGCTTTTTTGGATGACATGACCAGGCTCACATGTTGACATCACGGCAAACGCTGGGGATTACTAAAAGACCGCGACTGGGTTGGTCTTTGAAATTTGTGGTGTGCAAACAGCTCGTAATGCTGCCACATTTGGCATTGTTCATCGTTACTGCATTCTGAACTCAATGTGTGCATTTACTTTAAATAAAAAAAAAATTACTTGAAGTGTTTTAACGAGAGCTCGAGCACACACCGAAATACGTGACAAGTTTGCTTGGAGGCGTTAAAGCTATTTTGCCCGTGGCTGTGACTATTTGATTGTTTCGGGGGAATAAAGATGCATCAATTTGTTTTTGGGACTGCCCTATTTTCAGGATGATATTGTGGCTCCTAAGAAGTCTAAAAGGAACGCTGAAGTCATCCAAGGAATTGGATGTTGACTGTATTCATCTTCCGGAAGTTTGATTTCTTCGGATAGTTAAAACCTGGTGCAAATCGAATTGAATGTCAAACACAACTTGAAAAATATTTTTTTAATATTTACATGCTCCTAGTTATTTATCTAAGCATCGAACATGCAAAGGCTCATCTGAGCATGTGCAGTGACCTCGCTTGCAATGGATACGCCCTCAAAGCCTCTTTTTTTTCATTAGTATCTTTGTGGCACGTAGCAAGCGAATCAAACTCAATTGAGAGAACCCGATTGGTGCACGTGTACATCTTAATGACCTGCAGCTATTCTGGAATTCTCTATTGTTGATGTTTTCAAGTCTGCTTATTGATCATGGAAGATATAATCATTGTGCATGTCTGAAGAAGAGGTGGCCCCTGAGTGCACATTTCATTTTTGAAAAGTGCCAGAGGCCAAGCTCAAGATATATCATAAGATTTTATTCAACAACAATCCACATGCTGGAAAAGATACATCTCTAACTGCCATGCTAATTAAATAAAGATAAAAGTTATTAAAAGAATGCTTTGTATGTTTTAAGTGTTCCTGTCTTCTTGTCTAAAGCACCTGGTGTGTCGCTTCGAGGAGTAATCAGTGCATTTGTTGAGCACAAAGGGTGCATGTAATGCAAAAAGCTTGCCATTGAATGTTACTTCAATTTACCTCAAGTATGAATTTTTGTATTTAGGTGCACTTTTCCTAAGGCTGGAGGACTATTTAAACGGGAACTTCTGAATTGTTTGCCATCTTAAGGATGGCTCAGGTAATAGGTACTGGGTTGACATTGCAAGGAGGTATTGTTGCAGTCATTTTTAGTTGATATGTTGGGTCATCTACCTTTACAACTGGCATTACACATTAAAAGCTGCTTTGTGTCTTTTACTAGCTCCTCCACACATCACCTCCATAATCTAGCTTCGCAAATATCTAGAAAAAAACATTCACCAGATATGTGGTTGTCGAAGTGGGTTCACCTGCGAAAAAATTGCTGCTGCTGTTCATAAAAATTGAAAGAAGAGAATAAAATGGTTTAGAGATGTCAGTTTTCAAGGCTGGGAGCTATTTGAATAGTGTGTCTTTCTTGTTCACAAGCCAAGATTGTGAAACAAGAATAAAGGGCGTAGAAAAGAGGGCTATAAAAGAACTCATGCTCATTTTGCCTTCTCATTATTTTTGTATTTGTCAGTCTCATCTCACGCTTCGTTTTCCTCTGTTTCAGGACTCTGAAAAATATGTCGAGCAACTCTTAGATCTCTTTCAGAGGTTCAGCAAGCTAGTCAAAGAAGCATTCAACGATGATCCTAGGTTTCTTACAGCACGTGATAAAGTAAGTGGTCCTACCAATGTGTGCAACAACTCGTGCTTACTCTCATTGGCATTGAAGGCACCTTTATAAAAGCAAAGCCAGATACTTGACATGTAGTAGTTTCCACACGAACCTCTTGGTAAAAGCATTACTGTCGTGTTTCGAAGGACGTTTGGTGAGCTGCATTTCATCGGCAGTAGTGCAAGGGTGGGCTTTTTTTGCTTGTCAAGCCTGAAGCCACTAATTGACACTTACACTGAGTTTTCGTTATTGGCGTGCTGGTGGGAATTGCCGCTTCTCATGAGCCAAACAATTGTGGGTTTGCCCTGTCATTTGTAAAGACATTTCTGTTATTTTTGCCTTTCTTTTCTCGTTTCTTTTTCTTCATTTGCCTTTCGCTGAGAATGCATAAAGTGTCGCTAATCAGTTCATTAAATTTATTTTGAGCCAGTGATACAATCTATTTTCTTCATAATATGTCAATGCTGCCAACTGTAGAAGAAGTGTTGATTGAGTAAAACATGCACAAGGCAGTGTACTACTGTCTTGGCTTTCTCTCATTAACATCTGCAGTACAGGAATGTTATTTTCCATTTTGATGAAGTAACAGTGCAATTTAAACTGCTAATGAAAGTTTCATTGCAAAACTAAATGAAGTAGCCAAGAATCAGAGAGCTTATGAGATCTGACCGCTAGTGATATCGAGGTGGTGAATAGGTTGCCTTCGCGTTAACTGGCAGTTATGGTACGTACTGCATGCAGAAATTTTTTTCTTGTCTTCAGTGTTGTTTTCATTTACTCATTTCTACCCTTTTCTTTTTAAAGTTCATGCTTGTTAACTTAAACTAGGTTGTCTATTTATGCATCAAATTTCACAGAAGTTCGGTAATATTTTTGCTGATTTAAAAACTAGGTATTAAATCTTTGTGGTGTTCGAATAATTTGAATAGTAAAAGTACATTGTGAATTCACTTGAATACCCAGCTAGTCTAAGGCCCGTGTGCTTAGATTTAGGAGCACATCAAAGAAGTCCAAGTGGTGAAAATTTTTGGAGCCCTCCACTACGGCGTATCTCATCATTGCAACGGAGTTTCGAAACGTTAAACCTTATTAATATTCGTAGTATTACCGAACGAGTCTAACAGAGTATTTGAAGTTTCGAATATTTATACGCCTTTACTGTCTTTCTGTATTCTTCAGTACTGTTCTGTATCATGCCCAAGCATGTGTCCATTCGACATATTAACGATGTTTACATTTGCTGCTGCATTGTTATCAGCTCAGCTTTTTCTAATACAGTTGGCCTCCATCTGTACATATTTTTTTCAGGCATTTAAACAGGTTGTGAATGATACCTCTGTGTTTCGTCTGGAGCTTCCATCCAGACAAAAAGGGTGAGCACTGTACACGCATACGACTCTCAAATTTGGCTGATTGCGAGATGCAGCTTATTTGGGTTTGATGAATGTTGCTCAGCCTGACCTTCACTTTGGTTCGATCATGTTAATGAACTTCTAAGTACCAGCCCCGCCACAGTCGTCTAGTGGCTAAGGTGGCGTATGACAGTCGTCTAGTGGTCTAGTGGCGTATGACAGAACGGGGAAGCTTATAATAATACCGCTTTTCAATAAAAAAGATACATTCACGCTAACTTCAACAAAATAGCACACATGGTAATGTTCTGACGATGATTAAAAAAACATTTTCCATAATATTTGAACTTTCCCCATATATTCTGCTGCATATCAGCTTTCACTAACAGCAGTCCCGCCGTGGTGGTCTAGTGGCTAAGGTACTCGGCTGCTGACCTGTAGGTCGCGGGATCGAATCCCAGCTGCGGCGGCTGCATTTCCGATGGAGGTGGAAATGTTGTAGGCCCGTGTGCTCAGATTTGGGTGCATGTTAAAAAACCCCCAGGTGGTCAAAATTTCCGGAGCCCTCCACTACGGCGTTTCTCATAATCATATGGTGGTTTTGGGACGTTGAACCCCACATATCAATCAATCAATTTCTAAGTACCATATTTACTAGACTTGTGCAAATAGTGAATTTTAGGTTTGAAGCAAATTCAAAGCGAATAGTGATTTTTGTCAAATAATTTTGAATCAAATTTGAATGGTATATATCACAAACAATATATTTTTAAAATATTGTTTAGATATTTTAAAATATTGTGCACAATATATTTTTTAATTTGAAATAGGGGCTCTATGGAAATTTTTTTTTTCGTTCAAAGGAAGTCTAAACAACCTTCAGCAGTAGCGGGATTTGAGTTTTAGTAGGATGCTAGTGGTAACCTGTAGAAAATGTAACATTTTAAAATTTATTATACTTGGACCTTGTAATCCATCGTAACAAGCTTTTAAGCCTAATAAAATGATGATTTGAGGGTGACATATTCATTTGAAGGGGCCCTGCAATATTTTTTCAAGTAGCCATGGAGCCATTAAATAACCTTATTGCCTCACGAATTCACCACCACAAAATTTCTAGAATCAGTCCAATATGAGCGGAGTTCCAAAGATCTGGAAGCTAAGCATGGTCGGATGGCACAGGAAAAGGAAAAACGTCACGTGTGCCTCGTGACCTTGAGCACTTTTTCTCTCAGTTTTATTTTTTCTTCGAATACGCAGCCTTTCAGTGTGACTGCTCACGTACGCGTGGACAAGCGGCGGCCCCAGTAACGACCAAGCGCGCCGTGCTTAAGTCAGCCAATGGCTGTTATAAGTGATTTTTGAGCTTGTAGTGTCATTTGCTGAGGGAAGAGAGCAATCTTTAGCTGACTTTGAGCATTTATTGTGAATTTCAGGCCGTGTGATGCGCTGTAAAATTTGCCTTGCGTGTTTTCGCTAGCCTCGACTACCGATTGGTAGCGTTGTATGACCATGCTCAATAAATGCCGCAGGGCCCCTTTAAATTTTAAGGAAACTTCGCAGCAGAGCGGATTTACCCTGGTTCTGTGCTTTCATGGTTTGGCATCCTTACACTGCAGTGAAACCACCTTTACAGGTGTTTACATGCTGATTAATATACACCTGTTCATTGCAAATCCGAATACTGTACTGTTTCTTCGAAAAATTAGAATATTCGCAGAAGTCTAGTACCTAACTTTGAAGAACACTCATACTGATGAAAGCTTTGTAGTGTCAACTTTGGATTAATTATGCATGTTACGAGGTTGTCATATACATAGAAGTTAGCTGGTTTCAGTGTTGACCGTGATAGACACATGTAAACAAGGATTGTCTAATGATAAATGCAGATCACATAATTTAATGTGTCTATCGAGATTGATTACTCTTATTGATGTTGAGGTAGGTGTTTCTTGGATTTGTTAAAGTGAGACGCACTAAAGAAGCACTGGCACAAATTTTTACAGCTGTATTCATGATGTACAAAAATTTGGGGAGGTCTTGCAAAGCTAGTGAATCTCAACACAGGCCATTCCCAATTTTAATTTTTCTGTGAGGTTAATTAATTCAGGGCCAGAGCTATTTGCACAACCTCCACCACATTAGGAGGGGTGGGGGCGCTGCGCCGGGTTCCGGGTTGGGCACTTTTTACCACCGGGAGCACAGCTTTGCTTTCTGCTGTACTTATATTTACATTTATGTCAATTTGATATATTTCTATTGATTAACACCTCGATGGCTTCCCCAAGGTGATTGATGAGAGATGAATTACAATGTAAGAAAGTTCAAAACATCTTTGTGTTTTATTTATGGCCACAAGGAGACAACACTCCAAAAAGACAATCGCTAATCAATTGTCCTGTATTTTTCGTTCCTTTAAACAGGGTAGCAAACAAGACGCAGCCAGAGTCCAGGTGTCCGGAGCTCCTAGCCAACTATTGCGACATGTTACTACGCAAGACCCCACTTAGCAAAAAGCTGACATCTGACCAGATCGAGGCCAAGTTAAAAGAAGTGGTTAGTACATGCTCGTATTATATTATTGGTTAATGAGGACACTAAAGATAGAAAACATTTTCTGGCTTCTGTAGTATTGTAGTAGTAAACCCAAAAATCTGCCAAGGGTGAGAAGAGATGTACTAATTGAAGGCATGAGCAACTGAAGACAAGGGCAGTGCTGATTAAAAGTTCCCGTTCCAGCATCGTTGGGAAGTCATGAAGGCTTAGGTGTATTTCTGGGATGTAATTGTTGTTTATATCTATAAAAGTAAAGTATGTCTTTCGCAAAAGTACGGGCTTATAAACTATGTCTGAGATGCAGTGTAGACTGGCAGGTGACAAATGCAGTCGATCCCGGATATATCGAACTCGAAGGGGTTGGTGAAATATTTTTATATACCGATAATTTGAAATACAAAATGTGCATATTTAAGACCTAAATTAAAGCATTTCAGGCCTCAAAAATTCTTACATGTGCTAACATAACGATTCGCTTGCAGTGTAATGAAGAACAAGGGGGGGACTGCAAGTTACCCAGCTTGAACATATTTGAACACAGGGCATGACCCTGCGGACATAAAAGGACAAGGGACAAACCTAGTTGTGTGTGCGCAGTTGTGCGCTGTGTTAAAATATGTTCAAGTACTGTTACCAAATGGCCCAGCTTTCAGTCTTTTTACCCCACTTTAGTTGGCATGACAATAGTCCATAAACTTGTCTTGCTTGTTGTGCACCATCACATTTTAGTCATCCAATATCATATGAAGCTTTTCAAATAAGCGAATTCAGCTCCTTCGGCCGCGAAAACGTTGATTGACGCACAACACATATGCAAGCTTTGTAGCACAGCAAAAGGTTGGTTAGCGGCAGCAGCGAAGGCATTGGCATATTCATAACTGCATGGGTACACTTTCGTGGCACTGGCAACAGAAGTTATATTCTACGAATTGATGCAGTCAAAAACAGCTACGCCGTCACCCGCACCGATGAAATCATTCTTTGTCTGAGATGTTGCTCAGAAACATTGATAAGTTGCAGAATTCAGTGAGGCACCGTACACCGTTGTCAGTGGTCATGACGCCCCCAAAGTCGTCACCTGGCCTGAAAATAATGTTTGAGACGGTGCTTTACTTGATGTCGCTCCAAGCGCCAGTCATAATTTTTATTGCTACGTGTGGATCAACGTTCAGTTCGATTCCCGAATGAGGATTTATCAGGGATGAGGCGAGAAGTGCACAAGTCCAGAAGGCGAAAAAAAAATGCCAAGTTTCTATCAAGTTCTACATGTTGGTAATATCGATGTCACTTGTGGCTTTGTAACTTGCAGCTGCTGCTTTCAGCTGGTTTGATGCGAAAAGCTAGAAACAGCGTAGCCTCCGAGACATGCATTTTAAGACCGAAAACACAAAATACGTCACAGGGTTGCACATATCAAAGGTTAAGCTTTCCATGCTCGCATGTCATTGAGTGCTAACAAACAAGGAAAAGAATGCGAACATTGAAACGAGATTGCTGACTCACTTCGCATTCTCATTTTGTGGTCCTCGGCAATTGGTCTGTTTGAAAAACATTATGCCCCCGCGCTCGGACCTGCAGATCGCACATCGAACGTACCGGTGCACTCGCAAGCGTCGCGCAACAAACCAAATCAGTGCGATGGAATAACGCCACCTTTTTGTCACCTAAGCGCGAAAAGGGATTGGAACATAGAACGCGGCCATAAATGGATCAATATTTGCTAGGAAGAGTGCATTTTTTGTAGGAGTTTACAGCACTTCCTACGTGCACTGTGTCGTAGTAGGTTGCTCGTGAATTACAAAAAAGGGGGTTTCGCTGTTTCGGAAGTGATCTCTGAGGCATATTACATTGAGTACTCACCATGAGTTGACATGCAAGCATTTACCTTTCATATGCTTTCCAGTTACTCGTGCTACGTTATGTTCAAAACAAGGACGTGTTTATGCGGTATCACAAGGCCCACCTCACGAGGAGACTCATCTTGGACTCGTCGGCCGACAGCGAGAAGGAGGAGAACATGGTTGAGTGGCTAAGGGTAAGTGGTTGCATGCGTTTTTTTTCCATGAATATCTTGCTGTGTCAATCACGTGTGTGCTATTGCCATTGTTTGTCGTGCTGTAGTCGTGTGCCTTCAATGTCAGTGCGGTAACCCAACTTAGCTACATAAATTCTTACCCTGATGGCTTTGTTGTACAGCGAAAGCTGTTACGAGATCACAACAAGGATCGCGTGTGGCACTGTAGTTGTCCACTGCGGCCGCCGCCAGTGTCCGCAACAAGTACCGCATGAAATCACAAAAAGAATCTTGTAAATAAGTAAATAAAAACACCAAGTACACAGTGGAATTCGCACCCGGGTCTTCTGTGTCCAGCATTCTCTCACAGAGCCAGGCCGCTGCTTAAAAATCCGTTGCAAACTAGCCTTAGGCAGGCCTAATGTCGGGAAAGGAATTGCGTTAGTATGAGTAATGAAGCATTTTATAACAATAAAGGACTAACCAGGCATCACACAATGTGAATTGGGTAACGAGTGGCTCCTTCAATGCTCCAACCCATTACAATATCTTGTTCTTAGTCACCTAATAACTGTGCGCATACTCACTTCAGGCATAATTTTTCATCATCGTCATGCACTGCATAAAAGTTTGAACAAAATTTCTTGCGAGTGTGTTAGTGGATGCCGTGCTTCTCCGCAGAATGACGAATGATAGCGTAGTAAATGCCGGCCTACTACACAAAAATTATGATTATTTATGGTGTAGTGGGTACCCAGCAAGTGTGCTTGTAGCTGTTGCCCAGAGAGTGTTTTAAAAAAAGGGAAAGGCCGCTCTTCCAGCTTTCGTTGTAACTGTGCTGCACGTTCCGTGCAGGCCTGGCGGTCTTTTATGTGAATGAGAGAAACCTCTTGCATAGCCTTCAGGTTGAGATGGTTCCTTTGCTTTCACAGGAGAGCAATGCTAGCAGTAGGATATGCATGATGCACAATTATTAATGCCATATACACACGTGTAAGAGCCGCTTTTTTTTTTCTGCAATTTTGATGGGGTGCGGCTCTTCCACGGAAGTTCGAAATTCTTGTTCAATTTTCTATCCAGGTATGGAAAAATTTGTTTAATCGTCCCATACATATCTAACCATGCGATATCTGGCACCTAGTTGTGGACATTCTCGCTAGATGTCCTCATTATAGACAGCGGCACAATGTATCAGTGGCGCCGACAAGAAAAGCAACGAGACCTCCCAGATAGTGCTGCATGCCCGAAGCTCACAGATGGCGCCATGTGATGAAGCCACAAAACAACTTTTGCCATCTGGTGGCTTTTGAGAAATGCGCCATACACGAAATGTGGCAACGCTGCCATTTGCTGGCGATATTTTTTTTACAAAATTTGGAATGCCAAGTTAGTGGGAGCGGCCCTTCTACGAGCGCAGCCCTTAGTCTGGCGTATATGGTATGTTGACTGTCTGCCTTAAGTGTTACCAGAATAACTGGAGGCACAGCTCGTTGAGCAAGCGCCAAAGAAACGTGTAAACTGTTCTCAAATGCTTGCAGTGCAGTGGCAGAATGGTGCACATGAGGTTCATCACACCTTTTGTGTTGCCTTAGTAAATTCTTCTCGTGAGACAGTTGTCTCTTATGTATCCGTGATCAGCTGCTGACCCAAAATTCACGGATTCAATCGCGTGTTCCGCAGTGGTGGTGAGGCAAATTGGTTAAGGCCAGTGTACTGTGCAACGTCAGTGCACATTAGAACTCCTGGTGGTCGAAATTTCCGGAGCCCTCCACTACGGCATCTCTCATAATCATATCAATGTGTTTGGAATGTAAAATGCTCGATATTATTAATATTGTCTCTTATATATCAAGTCGCATTGTGTTATCTCTTCCTGCAACGTTGCCATTCACTTGTGCTAACAATGAAACTAGTACATTGTCGCGAGAGGAAACGATAGACAGGAACTCGAAGTGGAAGACTGTTTACTCAGCCACAGCTGCCATTCACTTCTTTGCTCTCGTCTTCTGCCACCAACACAGCGTGGCATTACCCTCTCCGCAAAGAAAAAAAAAAAGAAGCATCACATGAATGCCGCGGCTCCAAAAAACCACGAAAGGTAGTCAAAAATGTCTGTGTCCATTGAAAAAAAAAAAGAAGAGATGAAAAATAAAGCAGCAAGAAATAAATGTACAATTGTCTTGAAGGCTATTGCCACATCACAAAGTTCTTGACTTGCAGTCAACGCGAATAGTAAGGCTTCATCCTGGAGACAAGGAACCACATCCGAGGAGCGTGGTCTACAAGAACGGTGTGACGTGTCTGCTGGGAGAACTGCGTAGTTCACTTCACCGAGGCGATAAAGAACGTCGTGGGGTCTGAAGTACTAACATAACAATTTTTATGAGCGTCCGCATTGACGTATAGGAGTCCAAACCCAGATTAGGTCACCGGGCTCGTATATTACTGCTCTGTGGTGAGTGTTGTACCGGCGAGCATTTTCATTTTGCCGCGATAAAATGCGAGAGCGCGCCAGTTGCCGGGCATCTTCGGCACGCTGAACAAATACATCTCCGTCCGGGGTAATCGTGTCCGGCAGAGTTGGTTGCAGCATTGTGTTAAGCATTGTGGTGACGTCGCGGCCGTAAACCAGATGAGAAGGAGCAATGTCGATGGTTTTCTGCAGAGCCTGCAATCTTTTTGTTAAGGCGTTCGGTTAACCCGTTACTCTGCAGGGGGTACGCAGTTGTTGTTCAGTGCGTCGTGCCGCTCAGCAACAGGATCTCTCTGAGCAACTGTCCCGTAAAAGCAGTACCACGATCTGTGATGACGACAGCGGGAGCACCATGGCGGAGAACGATGTTCTTGATGAAAAAGTCAGCCACCTCGGAAGCAGTTGCTCGCTGGGAGGCTTGTGTTTTGCAGTATCTGGTCAAGTAGTCGGTGACAACCACAATCCAGCGGCTACCAGCTGTAGACTTCGTAAATGGGCCGAGTAAATTCATCCCGACCTTTTCAAAAGGTGCGTGAAGGGGTCGCAAAGGCTAAAGCAGACCGGCTTGTTTCGTCATTCGATTTTCGCAGCGCTGACAGGCTGTGCATCTTGACGTACTGCCTTACGATTTTCACAAGTTTCCATCAGTAGTATTTGTCCTTAATCCGCGCCAGAGTATGCGCGAAGCCAAGATGCCCTGACGATGGCTCGTCGTGACAAGCACGCAAAATATCATCGCGGAGAGCAGCAGGATTGACAAGGAGGTAAACAGTTTTCGTTGGATGAAAGTTGCGCTTGTAGAGGGTATCTTGGCGTAGACAGAAAGATGACAAATCACGCGCAAACTGACGTGGGCGTTATGGCCGACGTCCCTCAAGGTATTCGATCAGTGGTTGTAATTCGTGTTGTAATTCAAGTCTTCGCGTTGCTGCTCAGCCACGTTTAATGATGCGAGAATAGCAAGGCAAACTGAAGTCTTCATCCTTGTCTTCTGCAGCGACCTCGACAGATGCGCAGGAAAGACAGTCAGCGTCGGTGTGTTTTTGGCCAGACTTGTAAACCATCACTTTATCGAATTCCTGTAACCAAAGGCTTTATCTTGCGAGACGGCCCGTAGGATCTTTCAGATTCACTAGCCAGCAGAGAGAGTGGTGGTCACTGACGATTCGGAAGGGGCGTCCATACAAGTAGGGCCTGAATTTCATTATGACTTATACAACCGCCAGACATTCTTTTTCAGTCGTCGAGTAGTTCTTCTCTGCAGATGACAACGTGCGGCTAGCGTAGGCGATGACGCGTTCCACGCCATCTTGATATTGCACGAGAATAGCTCCGAGGCCAAGGTTGCTCGCGTCAGTGTGGACTTCTGTGTCTGCTTCGGTGTCGAAGTGACCAAGGATCGGTGGCATTTGTAGGCATTGTTGAAGGTTCCGGAAAGTGTCGGATTGTTTGGGGCCCCAGACGAAGGCGACGTCGTCCTTGACGAGTTGTTGTAGAGGGTTGGCGATTTTCGAAAAGTTCGGCACGAAGCGGGGGTAATAAGCACAAAGTCCCAGAAAGCGGTGTACATCATGCTTTGTTCTCAGTATCGGGAACAAAGCAACTGCCATAGTCTTCTCAGGATCGGGGCGAACACCACTGCGGCTGACAATGTGGCCAAGGAATTTGATTTCCTCATATCCAAAATAATACTTTTCCGGTTTCAGACATAGGCCGGCAGTTCGAATAGCCAGAAGAACCGCCTCAAGCCGCTCAATGTGCTGTTCAAAAGTCATAGAAAAAACGACTACGTCGTCTAGGTACACTAAACGACAGTGCCACTTCAAGTCACATAAAACTGTGTCCATCATTCGTTGGAATGTGGCTGGAGCGGAGCATTGGCCAAAAGGGAGAACTTTAGATTCATAGAGACCGTCAGGTGTAATAAACGCTGTTTTTTCACGGTCCCGTTCATCTACTTCAATCTGGCAATATCCGCTACGGAGATCCATGGAAGTGAAGTAACGGGCGTATTGCAGGCAATCCAAGGAGTCATCAATACGAGGAAGAGGATATACGTTTTTTTTCGTTATCTTGTTCAGTTTGAGGTAGTCGATGCAGAACCGTAGTGAACCATCTTTTTTGAAACCAGAACAACTGGTGACGCCCAAGGACTAGTCGATGGTTGAATTACGTTGTCGTCGAGCATTTGTTTCACTTGAGGACGAATAGCACCCTGCTCCTCCTGCGACACGTGGTAAGCATGTTGGTGCACGGGTTGGACGTTGGGCTCAGTGATAATTCTGTGCTTCATTAGAGGAGTCTCGAACTTTCGAAGTAGTGGCAAAACAGTCACTAAAGGATGAGAGGAGACTGAGGAGCCTTGCCCTCTTAGGTTCTTCAAACTGGCGATTGACGTTGAGGCGACTAATCACATCAGTATCGCAGCTGTTCTCAGTCGAGATCGTCGTAATCAAAGGGAAGGCGTCCAAATCATCCAATGCCTCCAAGTAAGCTATGGTTGTGCATTTTGCAAAATGCCTGTGTTTGCCACTGAAGTTCGTACGCAGTCTGGCCATTTCGGAGTTGAACGAGACTTGGAGCAATGGCGACTTCCTGATCAAGCAATAACGTCAGGTTACTTTCGGCGATGCCCGTAATCGACTGTTCCTGTGGACACTTAACAAGCACGAAGGTACTACTGCAAGGTGGCAACGTGACGCAATCATTGACTACGCGTAAGGCCACGCCACGATGTTCGTTCTCGATGTCGGAATCTGGAGAAACACAGTTGGCAAAACTGACGAACAAATCACGCAGACTAATTATTGCTCCATACTCTTGCAGAAAATTCATGCCCAAAATGATCGGCCAAGAACGATTGGGCAGTACAAGGAATGACGCTACAAAGACCGACGCACAAATCTCAAGCCTGGCAGTGCACCTTCCTATAGGGGATACGAGGTGCCCTGTAGCGGTGATTAGTTGAAAGCTGCTCCACGTTGTCAGCACCTTGTGTAGATGGGTGGCCAATGAAGCACTCATCACTGAGTAATCAGCTCCCGTGTCGATAAGCGCAGTCACCGGATAACAGTCAACGAAAAGGCTAATGGCAGCACACGTTCTGTTGGCGGTTTCGGTAACAGGCTTTAACGGCATGTCGTAAGGCAGCGGCGGAGGGTATTTGTCGGTTCTCGTGACGGGGGCCTCACCTACGGAGGTCGCCGTTGTCAGTTTCCCTGGTGTGGGCTTGCGCCACTGACACCAGGGGACCCAAAGGCGGGTCGGGCGCGGTGCGTTGATGTGGACGGACGGGATGATGGTGACCGCGACTGTCGTCGCGGCGGAACTGGAGCTTGATGACTACATTTAAGTAATCCGCAATTTCTTGTGGGCGCTCATCATAGCTTGGAGAACGTACATCTCGGCAGAATCCGCGTAGGCCTATTCGTCGGTAGTAACAGTCACGGTACATGTGTCCAACTTTGCCACAATGGTAGCACAAAGGACAATTGCTGGGTGCACGCCAGACGGTGGACTTCCGTGGGCCAGGACGAAAATCGGCCTGAGAGGGCATGCGATGGGCTGGACTTGGAGAGCGTCTGGGGGTCCCAGCAGGCAGATGAGCAAAGTGTGCCGTCGACGGCGTAGAGACGGGTAGGGCATCCGCGTAGGAAAACGTGGAAGGTTCGACTTGAGATGGTGGTGAGGAGTGAACTAACTGCCTAATTTCGTTACAAACGATGTTCGTAAAAGCAGCGCTACTGGGAGGGAACGCTGCATGAAATTTGCGAAGTTCTTTGCGTACAACTTGTTGTATGAGTTTATTTATTTATTTATTTATTTTTACATACTGCAACCCGTAAGTCTATGGCAGGAGTGGGTAACAGGCCGGTACAAAACAAACATGGTGTAATACTTTGCGAAGGAAAGCAAAATACAAAGGGGCAATACATGGCATCACATGGTGGCATAATGAAGACATGGTGGCAAGGAAGAGAACACAGTAAACACAGTAAACAGTGAAACAGAAAAAGAAAAACTGTCAAAGGGTATTTATGGATAACAAGAATTCATTTAAGGGCAAAGAACGTATGCCACCGGATAAGTTATTCCAAAGTTCAACAGTTCGTGGAAAGAAGCTAAAATATGATAACAGGGAGTTCTGTGAGGACCTCCCTGTTATCACCTCCTGGTACAAGCGAGCATGCAGCGGACATGGCCGTCTGACGCTCATACTGCGACAACCGCTGCCGAAGCATGCGCTCCATAATTATGGCCTCACGTATGAACTCCGACATAGTCTTGGGAGAGTTGTGCCCAAGGCCCACGAAAAGTTGCTCCTTTACGCCTCGCATTAGCAGGCGCACTTTCTTGTCTTTCAGCCCGTCGAAACAATCACGACATATCTTCGACAAACATGTCAACGCTCTCGTCCGGCATTTGAAACCGCGAAGAAAGTGCCTGCTCCGCTCTCTCTTTCCGTTTGGGGTTACTGAACGGCTCGCGAAACTGCCGATGGAATTCCTGCCAACTTGTGAATGAAGTTTCGTGGTTCTCATACCACACTTTTGCCGCATCTAAGAGGGAGATATATACACATTCTTCAACTTACGGTGATTGTCCCAGTCGTTGATGGCAGCGACCGGGTCGAAATGGTCAAGCCAGTCTTCGACATCCTCGCCGGCATCACCATGGAATAGGTTGGGTGTGCGAGGTGTGTTGATGACACAGGGTACGCTAGCGAATGGGTCATGCTCGGTTTGGGTTGTGGATGTGGCAAACATTGTCCTCACGGAACTTGCCAAGGGGCCGTACTGTGGTGGTAGTCCTTGAAGGCGGCGGCTGCTTCGATGGATATCAGCAGACCCTGGTGCACTGGCGGTGGTTGCTTTTGGTTCAGAACCAGCAGGCATTAGACGTTGCAGTACAATACCCAGCACTTCCACCAGTCTGTCGCGAGAGGAAACAATAGACAGGAACTGGAAGTGGAGGACTGTTTACTCAGCCACAGCTGCCATTCACTTCTTCGCTCTCGTCTTCTGCCGCCAACACAGCGTGGCAATATTAAACATATCGAAGGTACTAGATCCAAATGAAATATTGTTGAAAGTTCGTACTTGTATGTGTGCTACTTCCCAATGGTGAAGCACTAGAAAGAATGGAAACATTTGAAAAACACGGGACAAGGTGCTCCAAAACACAGGCCACAGTACAAGGCGCTAAATAATTTAGGTAGTCTGTGTTCTTACCCGTGCTTCACCATCATGAACGTATACGAAAACTTCCGACCAGCGGTCATTCTAAATGTTGCTCCTCATCCCACCGCATCAGTTCTGCTATGAACAATAGTTTAAATAACTTAAATATTTTTGTTAGTTTTCTACACTTCTATTACTAACCTATACAGTTGCACTCATACTAACGAAAAAAATCATTCGGTTCGTTAGTGTTTACTCTGGTGATGTGTTTTGTTTTTTATTTTCAGGATGTAGGCATGCCTGCAGATTATGTGAACAAACTAGCGAGAATGTTTCAAGACATCAAAGTGAGTGAAGACCTAAACCAGCAGTTCAAGGACGTGCATAGAAACAGCAACGAGTTACTGGCGGGTTCGTGCCACCTGATTTCTATCTTGGCGACTTGGTACCACTCATTCATGTGTGCACTTTAGACAGTTCGCGTTAAATATTTTGCTTTGCTTACAATCACTCTGTATGTATTAGTCCTGTTAAATAACAGTGCCCGTGATAGGCATTGCAGTTATACTGTATTGATGAAGACTATCTAACAGTATGTGTGTTAGTGGCTGCTTGGCCTCCTGTACAGCTTGGTATTCTTTCTTTGTTTTAGAGTTATGTGAAGATCTGCATCAATACTATATGTTTACTAATACTCTGCGTTGGCTTGTATTTGTTAACAGGCATTGTTTAACATATAAGCTTACAGTTTGGGATATCTCTGTATCGAGGTCAGTCATGCTGTGATAGAGTGCTGTAAAAATATATGAAAGCAAACGTATAAGCACAAGATGATATTTGGTAAAGAATAAGTTTTCATATCAGAATGCTGCAGAGCTTCCCAAAATGTTGTGCTCTGGTGTTTTGTGTGTCGTAATCACTGTACAGTTGAACCTCTCAATACTGAAATCGCAGTGGAAGCAGTTTTTGTTCATTCTCGTGACAATTTCATTGTCATGGAAACAGAAAAATATGCCCAAGAATCACTTCGGACAATTGAAAATTACGGTGTATTCGGTTGGCCGCTCCGGTTCACTGGCTTGGAGTCGGCAGATGCCGAGGCAGTTCTCAATCAGAGCCTGAGACGCAGCATACCAACCAAATACGTGGCCGTCAGAGCAGCGCATGTAGCGTCACCATGCGCCCAGTGTGAAAAGCTGCTGGGTTAATGTTCCTGCGCCACATCAACAAATGGCGCCGATCAGTTCATTAGATATCTCCAACATGTGAAGACACAGCGGCACCATTCTGAGCTCAGCACATAAATCTGGCGTCATCGTACGAGCTGCTATAATTAAAGCAAATCACGTGGCTGTGTGCGAGCTGCTGTAACAACAGCATTGACATTTCTTCCGCCTTCTCTAACCGCCCCCTTATTGACATGGTGCATTTATGGCTTCGTAGATGTGAACTCGCCGCACAAATACTCAAAAACGCCACTAAGAACGCACATGCACAAAGTATTACGCGCCTGACGATCTTCACTTCCGAAATTTGTGCTGGCGCTGTTCACCTGCCGGCAGTCACGCAATTTTCCGGCTTGTGTCACGTGATTTGTCCTCCTGGTCAGATTGCGTCACGCTCTCACTGTGAAGTCACATAGATCGGGAGCCCTCTGAGTCGGAGGCTGACAGTCCGAAAGAACCAAACAAAGGTAGTCCGGGCGCTCAAATTCTAGTACCAACCAAAGGCTCAGTCACTTTTAGAGCACTCCAGAGCGCTCGTAAACGCCCAACCGAATACGCCATTAACTTCGCATAGCTTCATTGTCGTGGGTATCGAGGAACGTGCTTATAATGTAAAAAAAATATCAAGAAGTTCACCAAACTCACTTGCCTTTCTTGCATTTTGTCGTTTCCTTCACTCGTCGTATTCTCGTCATATTCTTTGCGCACTCTTTCAATGATTGCATCGTCACTGTAACTTGTGTACGATTAGGTTGTGCCATTCAACAGCGTCTGGTATTGCTCCATTGACACGGTGAAGTGCATCCCGTGCTTTAGCTAGGCGCTGAAGGTCGTGGGTGCTTGCAGAAGAAGCACCCACTTGTGTCTGTGCTGTGGCAAGGCTGCCGAGAAATGCAGACAGGTCGTAAAACCGGCATGCTTAAAAAAAAAAGAAGTTGTCAATGACAGTAGCTGAAGTAACAGTCCACGCCACAGCAAGCATTTCCAGGGCAAATTTAGAGGGCATTGGTCATTTCTGATGCTTGAAACATGTGTGCCCAACTTGTCAAATAAGCTGAGCAGTGCTGTGATTTTTCAACTTCTGGGTTCTCTAATTGGCTCACGAGTTGAAAAAAAACAAACGTTGCAAATTGCTACTATAAACCTTCGTTATGTGGGAGTGCTTTTTAAGACCTCTTCATTCTCAAGAGGGGGCAAATGCATTGAACTCTAGGGGCCTTAGCAGAGGACGCCATATTTCTTCATTGTCACGACATTTTTTGTTCTTGATAGGTTCAACTACAGTAATTAAATGGAACCTGAAAGGACCAGGAAGATATGTTTAGTTTAACAGGAGTATGGTTCACTGAGAGATGGCCAGGGGTGCAGAATACAATCACAAAACCAATCTTGTCAGAAGGGCTTGTTCCATTTAAGCAGCAGTTTTGTTTGTTTAACAGATTTCTGTTTACCGAAAGTGTGCTGTATATGACACAGCACAGCGTAGCTGGGGCTCTAAATTAATTTTGATCACCTGTGGTACAACAATATGCACCTTACACTGAGTACTTTGGTGCTTTCAAATCTTGCAACGGCTAAAATATTTTTATTGTGACACAGAACCAGACATGCCTAGTGGTTCAAACTCATAGCCTCTATGTGACCTCCGTGGGTTGCCCCATCCTATTTGATTAATAAAATGGCTAAAGTGCTTGTTTTTTTTTTTTCATGATTACCTGATGCATCTAGCTCAGAAAAACAAGTCTTTTATTTGTCCCACCAATGATGTAATTATTTGGAGATATTTTTTTCCTACCTGTCAGCCAAGTTCTGCACAGCAACTCATTCAGTGAAAGACATTACTACGTTTTTGCTGCTGTTTTGTTTGTTTTGTGAATTCATCTGCGAGTTCGAGTTGTCAAATATTTCATAGTGTGCCAACTTGCCAACGTAGACTGAAAAACTGCTTTTAGTGACTTGTTTCATGCAGCTGCAGAGAAGTGCGATTAAGTTACCCTATTATTTTTTCAGGAGTGGCAGTGGCAACACATTTCCACCTATCACTTTGTTCAAATGCCTAATAGGACACACAGTCTTCCTTTTTTTTTTTTGCAGTGAGTAAGCATTATTTGTGATTGTTGCAGTTTTTATCCTAGACAACAAAGCTAGTTCTTGGTTAACAAACTATGCGCTAAGGGCAACATGTATGGCTGCGATGTCATAGTGAGCCATAAATCTATACCACCTTGCCAAATTTTGTCTGTTTCAGCTTGCCTCACGGGTACGATCTCGTATGTTCTTTCAAATAAATGTGATGTGTTTCAGATTCGATCAACATCAAAATTCTAAATGCTGGCGCGTGGGCTCGAGGCAGCGAGCGTGTTCAGGTATCGCTACCTCTCGAGCTGGAAGACTTCATTCCCGAAGTGGAGGAATTCTACCGGCGGAAGCACAGCGGACGAAAGCTCCAGTGGTATCACCATATGTCCAACGGAACGGTATGTATGGGCTTGTTTTCGTAAAAGCTAATTTAAGGGGAAATCTTACTTTAGGAGTCTGCGGTTGAGCCCCTTAATGAGAGACACGAACAAGTGCATGGTCCCTTATAAGCGCAATAACAAAAGCTCTCTTGAACTTCTTGAGAATCACCAGACTTCACAAGCACTTGTGAACAAACATCAAGAGACCGTCTTCTGTAGTTTCAAGATGACTATTTATCCATCTATTTCTTATCTTCTATTCTCTCTCTCTTTCCTTTCTATTATTTCCCTTTCCCCCACCCCAAGTGTGGAGTAGCCAACCGAGCCAAGCTTGGTTAACCTCCCTGCCCTTCCTGTCTATTTCTTTCTCTCTTTCATTTTCTGAACAACTTCGGTCTTGATATAGGTGCAGTTGACTCTTATACCCAGTTCTCTCTTATGCCAGTGTCCTCCTATAAAGGGGTGCATCTGAATGCCTAATTTATTTTTGCAGATTTTTTTCTAAATTTTGAAGGCTTATGTACAGTGTGTGTGTGTACTTTCACAACTTTGTATAGTCATGTTTTCATATATCATGTCAATTTTCACTTTCATCATTTACTTTTGAGTTTTCCTTGGCTTTTCTGTAACAATTTTGTGAATATATCATTTTTTCTGGTTCTGCATTTGACACTAAACATACATGTGTTCAAGTACAGCCAAATTCGCATATATTAAACTCGCTAAAAAGTGCAAATGAGCTCGATTTATCATACAATTTGATATCGAACTTCTTAACTATTCACCTTGTTTGCAGTGCACAAGCTGGCTTTGCGGCACTGCTTGGCGATAATTCAAGGAAGGCGACTTGTGGCAATATGCGTGGATTTTTTTTAGCTTTTGTTTTTTGGAGGCTTTTAGTTGGGGGTGCTTGTTGTATACAGGGGCTGGTTGTATACAGGGGCTGGTTGTCGGTGAAAAAATATGGTGTTGATATATACAGCCATTCAGCATTTTAACGTTCTGCTCTGTGTGCTTGCTCGTAGAGCACCATAAGCCTCTAGTCTGCCTTAGCCCTGATGTTGGCGTTCTTTTTTTTATGTCATATCCAGCGTGCTTCTTGAAGTGCTGTGCACAGTGCCGACATCGGTCTTATTTTCTCTACATTCGACTGTGTTTGATTAACTGTGGCTTCGCATAGAACAGCCCGGTTCTTCTACTTTTGGGAAGTGATTGGCAATCCCGCATGTCTGTTAAGGAGTCAAGGCATTCGATGGCAAGCAATAGCTTCAACTCGTTCTGTGCGGTGCGCTCGTAATCGCACTGCTCACTATCCTAAATGCATGCTGAAAGTCTGCTCCCACAAGGAGAAGCCAGCTTCTTGGATGTATTCTTGGGATGTATAACACTGCCCCATATTCAGTATATCAAGTTGTCCCCCTATTTCTGCTCAATGTGCCAATAAATTTTCCTATACATTAACATCAAAACATTGCCGTGTCAGAAAAGAGTTTGATAGAAAGGTTAATTCAATCTACTTGACTTTGATATAGATGGGTTTGACTATATAAGGGGAAATCCTAGTTTTGGGGGATTTCCCCCATCAGTTTTTGTAACTATGGGACCTCTGAATGTAATCCATATCACTGTTTTTACTTTGTATGCAGAGAGACTGAATGGAATTGACATGTTTCAAACATTCAATAATTTTTCTAGTATAATATTCAGTTTTAAAGTGTCAAATATTTTATGTACCTTGCTGGCAGAAAGATCTCGTTCTAAAGTGTGAGAGCAAAAAAAAATATATATATATATATACCAGCATATCACAATAATCTGGAATGAAAACTGTATGCAGAAAAGTGAAAATGAATATTCCAAGCCCTTCTACAACAAAAATTAGGGCGTACAAGAAAAAAATATATTTGATATTCAGAAGCTACTGGCCTACTTAGTATATTAAGATAATAATTACGTATTTCAGTTTTTTTCACAGTATTTTGGTGGTAGCTCGCCTTAATCTTAAGAGACAGCGTAGATATATATAACTTAGTTCTTATTTCCAAGAGGGTTAACTGCAGACCCAGGTGGTCTGCATTAACGTACAATTATGTACTGGACAGACCAATTCTCTTGTTCAGCACTCTGACAAAGCACAAGGTTACCATTGCAATGAGCATTTACGCGAGTGAGGCATTACCTGCCATTTACTCACAGCTTGATTCAATACTGCTCTGTCGTGTCACATTTGGTTTGTAGACTTGAGTCAGCATCGCGAAATCTGAAATCTGTTTTAAGAGTTTAAGTTGTGAGTGCATTGGAGTTCGTGTTAGATGCTGTATGCGAGTAAATTCAATTCAATAGGTTAGAGTTGTTCAGAGTGTACGTACTGCAAGCTGGATGGGCTGAGTCAATGTAGGCCTACACTGACTCAGCCAATTCACCCCACAGTTAATGCAAGAGTTCGTGAAGCAGTTTTCACTTTGACAAGCCAGCTCTACCCGTTTTCGTCACAATTATGCCAGTATTCTGAAGAGTTTTTTTTGTAAAACTTCAGGTGAAATGTAAAGGAAAACAGAAAAGTAGCGAAGGAATAACAACGTCGCAAGCCTTGACAGCATACTTTAATTACAATCTTTGAAAGAAAATTCATATTTTCCCTTTTGCACTGTTATTTATTTTACTATGTTTCCGTGCGGGATGCAATAAATGTTCCAAACTGTTTAGTATTGAGCATTTGCAAGCTTCTTGACTTACTTGCAGCATTATTGCATGTGAAGACTTCAAGCATGGTTATCTGCACTCTGCAATATGTGTATGATTTGGGTTATCCAACAGCTTTACCACTACAATTTTTATTTTTTTATGTGCTACAAGGAGCTCACTTTCCAAATGCTGGATGCTTTTGTACGCTAATATGCTGTAAAAGGCAGAATTTCAAAGGAAGAAGGAAGGTCAAAGACGAAGACATTCACAAATGTTTCTATATACCGTAAGAAAATTCAGACAGCAGGAAGGACAGCAGGAAATTCAGACAATAGGAATATCCTATTGTTTTTTTTTTTTTCGCCTTTCTCTAGATCACCTTTTGTAATCAAGTAGGCAAGTTCGACTTGGATGTGACGACGTTCCAAATGGCCGTCATGTTTGCCTGGAATGAGCGGCCTAACGAGCGCATCTCGTTTGAGAACCTCCTCCTTGCCACTGAACTTCCAGACGCTGAACTTCGACGGACGCTCTGGGTGCGTGTCACTGCACTGTTGCAAGCATGAATACCTTTAGATTGGGTTATTCCATGCCAAACACAAAATGGCAACCATGTCAGAACATGGTTGCCGAAATGGCTGAGATGTTTGGCTTAGAAAAGAACAATCGCATGACATTCTGCAAAATGCGAAAGGCATGTACTCTATGAAAATTTTTTTTTGTTCAAAATATTCTAGCATGCCACTTGCATCATTTTTTTTAATAAATTGGAGATAGTCACTGAAATGTCTGGAACATTTTGCCCAACTGATAAGTGTCATTTGAGTGCATGCACATTAACCTTACTGTTTCACCCTTAGTTTGTGCAGTAGACAGTTTGTGAAATGCTGTTGCAAATGTAGCTACAGGCCAGCAGGACAAACTTATATGTATCCACTCAACGCTCGCCTGCATCCTTTTTTTTTCTCCATACGCTGCTAAGCTAACGCAGTGACAGATTTTCCTTTAACCATGTGTTAGATAACCACACCTCTAGACATAACCGCAGTAATTTGTCAAAAACTCGCAGGGCTCATGTGAATCTTCGATGGAAGTAATAGGCACTGGGAGGGCATTTAGAGCAAGAATAGCAGTTTGTAATTGAGAGTATCTTGTTAAAATAAGAAATAATGCCTTCCAGGAAAGTCTACTTGTGGTTTTTTTGTAAATATTTTAGTTGCTAAATTCACTCACAAAGGAGGGCATGGTATGTACACCACTTGAGACTGTCTCCATAGTTCCATGCTGCTAAAGTAATAAGACCCACCAACCAACATAGAGTGAAGAATCTGCGCTGAATTTCAAAAGGAAAGAAGAGCTCTCCCACTGCGTGCACTTTGTTTATTGATAGTGTATTGTCCAACCGCTGTCACCATTTCAACATCAGTAGCCGAGTCGTCACAGAAGTGAGCATATTGTTTGAGCGATGCTGCTTGGCTTGCCGAACAAGAACTATATCTCCTAGTTTTTTAGTGTAAGAGGACTCGCATCACATTTGCTTGAAACGCTACTACAGCGTTCTCAAAAGTGTGAAAAAAAAAGGAAAAAATTCATACTTACATTTTCGGGACACATTTTCATTGCCTTCGCAGTCTCTGGTTGCCTTTCCCAAACTGAAACGACAAGTCCTCTTGTGTGGGGTCGAGGCAAAGTCGCCCAAGGACTTCGACGACGGCACCCAGTTCTGGGTCAATCAAGAATTCGGAGTCATGTAAGCTGCGAATAATGTTCTCTTGAGCGGTTATTTATGATCCTTGCTTCCTGACCTTCTACCTCTCTCACTTCCAGAAAAAATGGAAAAGTTCAAAAACGAGGCAAAGTCAACCTTATAGGAAGGCTGCAGCTATCGACAGAGAAGAGCAAGGAAGATGATAACGAAAGTATCGTTCAGCTGAGAATATTCCGAACGCAAGTACGTCATTTCGCATTTTTTATAGTGTGGTGTCTTAACACTTGGCGGTATTCTTACTAAGGGAGACCCAGGTACAGAAATGAATTGACCATTTTAATAATTGGGTAGCAGGCCTTCCTGCAGCTTAGCTTGCTTAACAAATGGTGTTTTCTGCAAGGAGCCCGTACAAGTGCGGGTTTCTTTTTTTTTTTTTTTTGTGCAAGCAGCCTAACTGTGAAACTACACAGTGTAAAACTCAAACTGAAGATTTTTACTATTTTTATTTGCATCTTTATCGATTTTTGGTTACGGACCAGATGTCTCTCTTTTGCTCACAACTAATGATGCAGACACCGGAATTACTGTGAAAAGAGTTCTTAAACACTATCTTGTTAAAAATGAAATCTGCTTGTGCAAGGTAGGGTCAACTACAGGTAATTAGAAGGGGTTTCCATCCTGTAGTCTACTAAAAGAATAAACGCTGGTGGTGCTGCTCAAGAGATTGAAAAGCAAGTTGTATAATTTAGCCCTGTTTTCGAAATTGTGTGCCATGAAACTTTCGTGGTAGATAGGAATCATCCTAAAGAGAAATGAAATCTGCTTGTGCCAGGCAGGGTCAACTGCAGGTCATTAGAAGTGGTTTCCATCCTGTAGTCTACAACAAGAATAAAGGCTGGTGGTGGTGATGAAAAGATCGAATAGCAAGTTGTATAGTTTAGCCCTGTTTTGAAAATTGTGTGCCATGGAACTTGAGTGGTTGATAAGAATCATTCTAAAGAGATGGCAAATATAAAACATGTTTCCAAAAACTCTCTTTATGCCACTTGACATAAGCAATTTGACTTGCATTCGTGTGAGAAAACTGATGTGGAATGTTTTTTTCTTTTTTCATATTATACAATTATGAGGCTTTTTCAATAAATTTGATACTTCTAATTACAAGTATAGAAGGTTCACAGCGCATCATTTCGAGAAAAACTGTTGAAGAAATGTATAAGTTACTATGGTACTCGTGCTCAAGGGATCATCTCACATAGCAGTTCTCCTGCCAACAGACTCTTTTAGTTGTGCTTTTAAATTGATACGAGTTTATAATCACCTGAATGTGCATTTTCAGTGTTAATTGCTTGCTTCACTGCACTTGTGTCATTGCTGCTTCTACATTTTAAGAACTCTATGGCCATTTCTTAGCCCTCTGCGCAATCATGTTGCATGAAGGTAGAAGGTGGCTTGCCAATATCACGGTTGTGGCTCAACCTCTCCGCATAACTTTTGAAAAATTTCAGTTAATCCTAGCCATTTACAATAACCTTGTATTCATTGTATGTTCAGGAAGCGATAGTGAAAATCATGAAGATGCGCAAGCGGATCACCAATGCCCAGCTGCAGACTGAGCTGGTGGAAATCCTGAAGAACATGTTCCTGCCTTCGAAAAAAATGATCAAGGAACAAATTGAGTGGCTGATAGAGCACAAGTACATGCGTAGGGACGAGGAGAACATCAACGAGTTCATCTACATGGCCTGACTTAGCCACGTGACTAGTGGTCTCCAAACAGTGCGCGCTCCTCTGATGGACCGGTTGAGTGCTGCAAAGGTCTACTCGGTTTCTTTTCTGAAAGCCGCCAAACCCCCTTCCAAGTCTAGGCTTTTGGGACAAACCATCAATTGCAGCGGCGGTCACGTTGCCAAGGAGAGTGCTGTACATTGGTTTTCGTGGGAAGGCTGTTTTATTCGAGAATAACTTAATTCACTTTTTGCACCGAAATTTCATGTTGAAAGCGAGTCAACTCATAGTTTTGCGTATACTGGTTGTACATCCGATAGAGTACAAGAAATGTACCGGCGACGTGAACAAATTTGACCGTTTCATCTTGCCTTTCCTGAGGTGTGGCAAGATGTAAAAGAGAGTCGCGTTCTTAATGCTGCCTTCTGTTGCCAACAGATTTGCTAGTTAATTGTTCGGCAACTTCCTGCCCTCGGTACTTGAAATACTGGCAACACGTGAGAAACATAGGATTGTACTGTGTCTTGAACGTATATGTTCTTGTTCAGCCAGCATTCTCTATTCCGCAGGCACAGACAGCAAACGTTCTGCATCCTTACAACACCTATAAGCCATTGAATAATCTGCAATCACGCTTTGTTAAGAACACTGGAGAGTTATATAGAAATGTGTTCGAAATGTTGCATTCGTAATACAGCCTAATGTAAAGGGCTATTCTTGGTAAACTTCACACTCATTGCGCTCGAATCGCGTGTAGAGGTGGCATTGTGTGATGTTTATTTTTCTAAATGTAAAATGATAGAACGGGAGGCTTGAGCTGGTTGATGATTTAGCATCAACGTATTTGGACAGCATGGAATGAACGAAGACAGATGAGAGGACACAACTTTTGCACTGTGCAAATGTGTCGATGCTGAATGTAAAAGCTATACTTGCATTATACATAATGAATTGTACGCACATATCAGTGCTGATAACCTGATAAAGTAGCTTTGCTGAAACGAATAGTGGCACTGTTCTTGTAGAAAGGTGGCATTACTGTTGCTTGTGCTGATAATGTGAATTTTCGAATCCAGTATTTCCACAAGGGACGTGATTATTGCAACAACTCTAGTGCATGATGTGACGGTAAATAAAACATTCGATGCCACTTCAGCGGAAAGAGACAAGCACAATCTAAGTGTAGTTTAGCCAGGAAGGCAATTCTTATAAGGGCATTCTTGTTGACTTATTTAGTGCAACATGGTGACTTTTTTGTTCTAAGTAAACGCCGAGTCATCTGAAATATCGCTGTGATTCGTGCTCTGACGCTGCAGTCGTGCACACAAGAAAATGTCTTTCAAATGCAGAACTGAACCTGCGAAACTAGCGCACAATTCAGATTGGCCGGCGATTTTTTATTATTTTTTTTTTCAAATAGTAGTTTGTTTGTCAGGACATGTCGATATCTTCGATGTTATGCGAAAAAAATATGCTGGTTTGGTGCAATGCAATTCTCGAAAAGTGTGATTTGATTACCAAACCTTTCCAGCGGCGATATTTTTTTGCCAGGTCTTGCAAAGTTGCCACAACGAGCAGCATGACGCCGAACTAATTGCAGGGATAACTCGACGTAGTTTGTACATATTTATTTATTACAACCAACTAGGCCTTCAATGACAGAGAAGTGTAACTTATTTTGTCAGATTGTGCCCGATCGCACCAGGCCTGTAAGGAAAGAAAAAAAAAAGCGGGGAGGGGTGCGTAGTGTACGACTCGGTTCACGGGTGAACGCCTTTGTAAATATGTTTTACATGTGAATAAAAACAGCTTTGGAACAACACACCAGGCGAGTCCCTGTCGTCGTTTTGCGAGCGCTGCGCACTCCTCGATGGTTCACAAAGCAGGCTGATGGAACGCTGGTGCGTTCAAACAGATAGTCTTGGAAGTGTAGCGATCAAACGCACATCTCAAGTCGACGACTGCCTGTAGTTCTTGGTCTCGAGAATCTTCTTCCCGCACATAGCGCAGATCCCTTTCTTATAGGCGCAGCCCTGGCAGTAGTTTGAGCCCACCTGGTGCACTTTCTGGCGACAGATGCGGCACTCGGCGAATTTCCCGTAAGGCGTGAACCGTGCCTTTTTCGCTGTCAGGGCCTTGTTTTCGTTGATCATCCTGCCGCCACCTTCGGTGGTGTTGCGAGCTCCGGCTTTCCACGGGTCCGGGGTGATCACTTTGCCGAGCTTCTTCTCACACTTTTCGCACACCATGGTGACAAAACGCAACTCGTTAGGAACGTTAAATTGACCAAATCAGCTGTGTACAGCGAACAGTCGACGACTGCCTTCGATGCGCTGCGACGCAAACTGGATCGCTTTGGTTTGGCTCTACTTGGCTCCGTCCCACTTGCAAACTGGTAGGTGTTCTGTGGCAATACGTTATCTAAAACATGGTAGTTCTGACGTAAACTTAATCTCAAAAAGGAACAAAACATTGCCTTTGAGATTAACGCTTTACACCTTTTGAAATATTTAGGTCAAATAAAATATAAAAACCTACCATTTGTTTCATAAGTGTCTCGTAATAACAAAAACACCTCAAAAAATATTCGCGCTTACTTTTTTTATATTTCAACAAATTTAGAATATCACACGTAGTTATTCACAGCTATCTCAGAGGCAACGCTCAAAAGTAATAATTGTTTAAACCAGTAGATGCAATAAATAGGTTACCACCTTATGAATACAACTATAATTTTGTTAGCACCTAATAATACTATGATTGAGCGGAGTTTTATATGTTATTAAGTACTGGCCAGTTATTATCCGGTAGGGGGCGAATTGTTTTGTTGCGGAAACTCGCGGTTGGCGCGCTTTGTAGTTGGCGCAGATTTTCAGGCTGATTTGTCGGCGCCGTTTTATAAGGTTTGTTTAGTTTTACGCTGAAACTCTTTAAAACGTAAACAACTTCGGCCTAATCACTGCTTAACAAAAGAACCTAACGACGCCCTCGTTGCGCGTCGTGTTTCTTTCGTTGTAAATTGCGCGCAGTTCAGCCGATCGGGCGCTGTTTCGAGGCACGTACTCGTGCTACAGAGTTCGTTCTTGTACTGGAAAGTTTGCCTGCGGGTATTCGCTTGGCTCTGAGGCGTTCTTTCTTTCTACCCCTGGAATGGGCCTTGATCTTGCAGGAATGAAGTGCCATGTACCGGAGATATCTTGGCACAGTCGAGATCCTATCCTGAGCATCGACTTCCAGCCGTCAAATGACAAACACCGAAGGCTGGCCAGCTGTGGTACGGACACGCACGTCATGGTAATTTCATTCTCCTTCAGCGTGATAATTCGACCATCGTATCGCGTCACTTGAAACTGCGCATTTATCAAAGGTATGTTGCATCGCTGCAATGCTCAACTCTTTTAACTTTTAATTACTTCGGTTGCGAAGGTGCGATGCCCATGTTCTCATTTCTCAATTACTTTCATACCAAGCTTAGTGATTTGTCGCTGATCATATCTGTACAGGTTATCTGTGGTGAGTAACTATAGTTTCACTTGTTTCGTTTAACCCTGCACGTATGTATATTATCTAAGTTATGATCAAAAGTTGTAAATTAGAATACCGTTATCAGCCGCGTCATGTGTTCACATTTGTCACTGATAATTACTGCTGTTTCTTCTAACCTTTTTTTTTTTTTCATCTAATAGACGTCCCTTTCCCACGAGTCCTCCTGATCAGGTCCAGTATAATCTGTCCATTTTTAATACTCCAGAAATCGTATAAGTGTAGAGTACTTCTAATTGCAGTCAAGGCATGCAACTCAGACGCAGCGAAAGAAGCGGCAATCGCTCTCGCCACCACCACATGTAAAGGCGCCGCGGTGATTTTCACTGACTCGCAAGCCGCTTGCCGGAATTATGTGATGGGCCGCGTCTCAGTCGACGCAATTAACATCCTGCAATGGCGAAGCTCTCCACTTCCATATACTTGTGTAATCTGGGTTCCTGGACACGAGGGTCTACAGGGAAATGAAGCGGCTCACGCCGCTGCCCGGAAGCACGTCAGCCGGGCTGGCCTGGGACCAAAGGATACTCGATCCGTGGCTGCAGAGATGGAGGTAGTAGAAAACACCTACTCGTCGCTACCTCAACACTACAAACTGGAGCCACGGGTGTACCCTCCACACCATCCAAGACTAACCGAAGAAGAGAGCCTGATTTTCAGACGCCTACTAAGTAATACTTACATACATAGCATATTAATGCACCGCCTCTACCCAACGAAAAATAGCTACATGTGCCCGCTCTGCAGCGTACCAGACACCCTGGCACACTTGCTCCTGGAATGTCAGTACCATGCTAACCACGACATGCAACTGGAGCGGGACCAAGCTCCAAGAATAAACGACGACCACCTAATGGAAACGTGGGAGGCCAAGCTCGTCCTCGAGGACCTGGAAGACCAGCGACAACTTGTCGCCAGGGTCAAGAGGGCAGTCAAAGCCAGAGGGTTCCTGGACTAGGGAACCCTCCCACTTTAGGGTGACACCGGGCCTCGCTCGGAACACTGTTTTCTAAATAAACATTTATTTCTCTCTCTCTTTTATTCTTTCTTAATTTTCTTGTTTTGTGTTTTTTCAATACTACTGTCATCTTGATCAACTAGCTGACACTAATAAAGTGAGCTAGTCAGCTTCCCATGTTTCCGCATATATGCTGCAAATTAAGAAAAGGTTCATTATTAACTGGTGTTTGTTGCTGTTCTTCTCTGTGCTTAGATATGGTTCATAATTGTACACCACAATGGGGAAACCAGCCTCGAATTTCGCTCTGACCTGAACAGGCACACCAAGACCGTCAATGCTGTACGATTCTCAAACAATGGTGAGCAGCAATGCTTTCCCCACTTCCCACAAGTTTGCAGAATCCAGCGACATGCTTTCGTTCGTACATTGAACTTGTTTCGTTGTCTTTCAGGGGAACTGCTTGCATCTGGAGATGATGGTGAGCTTACCAATTACCTATTTTATTTTTCGAGTCCTTGTGTATGCATTGACTGACCGAGGCACAGAGGAAGGAATTGATAATAATCGGAGAAGGCTGCAAAAACACTCCGTCGCCACAGCAACTCAAAGCAGGATCTGAATTTTCTGCAAAGTCGCGTTTACACCCGAACTTCAAAAAGAAGAAAGTATTCTCTTCAACTCCCCTCCTTCACTTTATGAAGACGGCTGTATTTTTCCACCTTAAATAAACCTCGCAATATGTTTTAGAGTAACCATAAAACATCACAACTGGTCTCTGTTGCCTTACAAATCTCCCGCTACAAAACGTTTCCTAATTCATTAACTATAACTGCTGTGAGCGGTTATCAGAAGCTCCAAGTGCCCCTTTCATACTAAAGAGCGCTATATAAGGAGCTTTGACTACAAATTAGTAGCATTTTGTGGTGCAAGTTCAAAAAGTTTAGCACGAGTCTTTCAGTTCGGCCAAGAAGCTTATCAAGTGTGGTTATTCGTTGGGGCTGTTCCCCAAACACCTTCATGCCTTCAGTGTGCGTCGACATCAGTCGTAACATGGGTCGATTCAGAAATAAATTTAGTTAGCACTCATATGGCTCACAGCATTACTTAATCGAATACATCACACATTGAACTTGTCATAAAACGAATACCAACTTTCGAGATGCAGATCTGTTGATGTTAGAATGCCTCTAATTGCTCCTCTGAACATGTAATGAATTGACTATCATCTTTTGGGATGCAATGCGTGCATGGCCCCAGAAATAATGATGCTATTGCAGCTTGCGAGGCACTCGTAATAATTGTTGGGGTTTAACATCCCAAAACCACCATATTATTATGAGAAACAGCGTAGTGGAAGGATATGGAAATTTCGACCACCTGGGGTTCTTTAGTGTGCACCCCAATCTGAGCACACGGGCCTATAACATTTCCGCCTCCGTAGGAAATGCAGCCGCCACAGCCGGGATTCGATCCCGCGACCTGCGGGTCAGCAGCCGAGTACCTTAGTTACTAGATCACCGCGGCGGGGCGCTTGCGAGGCACTCGTAAGCTTCATTAAAGACAACTGTCTCAATGAGAACTTCTTAGTTAAATGTTGTGGTGTGTTTTGTACTTGCTATGGCTTATTACCATGCTCATGATTTCAGTTTTCATCATGTCCATCTGGAGTAATGTCTGAGGCAAATGTCTCCGGAATTCCATCAGAAGGCTTTTGCCTTCTCCACCAGCACCATATTTTAACTGATCTACCTCAAAGCTATTGCTCAACTTTGACAATCATCTTCCTATAGCCCTTGCCTTCTACTTTATTCTCTATTATCGGCAAGAATAGTACTGGTGCTGACCTAGCCAGTCCAGCTCTGTGGCAGCACGTTGTCTGCAAGGGCATTTCTTGGATTCCGTTGCAGATGCAAATGTTATAATCTGGAAACAAGTTGACAAAAGTCCCGGTGACGTGTTCGATGACACGATAGAAAACAAGGAACACTGGGTTGCACAGAAAGTACTGAGGTGAGGTCTGCCTATGCGCAGGAACGTCGTAGCTAAGTTTTGATCACGCTTGCCATTTGTTTTTTTGCGTCAGAGGGCACATCGATGACGTCTGTGACATTTGTTGGTCGCCCGATAACATCTATCTACTGTCTGGTTCAGTGGACAACTCTGCCATCATCTGGCACGTTGAAAAAGGTGTGTTCATTTCTTATCGTCTGAATATCTGTGGCCTACTGTAAGTCTGGTTGAAGGTGAACTGCGTGTTATTTCTGGTATCTAATTATATCAATAAATATTGCCTTGCCTTTTTTTAAAAGGACACGATCGATAACTTCAGGGTTAGTTGTTGCTAAATGACATCCCCGAGTGTTCTAAAAAGGGATTGGAGTGTGCATATAGTGAAATATTTGCTTAACATAACAAGTTGCATTTTATCCCATAGAGGGGCTTCAGTACTCATAAATATAAAAATTTTCTGAATGTTCTAGGACACCCATAAACGTTAGCTTTGTTAAATTGAAAGGTTTATTTTTAGTTATTAGATTGTGTGATTGACCAATACTTTATTATGTGCAGTACACTATGGAAACTTATCAACATAAGTTCTAGAGTGTGAAAGTGGCCGCACATTACTCGAACCTTTTATAGACCCAATCAACTTACGTAAATATTTGCTTTGTATTTCAGTATAAATAAAAATTGCTATTTGCAACTTCGAGCAGTTGCACAAAAAGATCGGCACTAGCTAAGCATAGCTACTTTCTGTGGTATCATGTGATTTGCTCACACCGTAGCATCTGGTGTTGGATATAGTGTTAACAAGCATCATTCCGTTAACAAGTAGCATTCGTATGGAAAGGTCTTTCAGCTATGAAGTGTTGCGGAGGATTCTTTCTTAAAAACTAGCATTAGAAGGAAGTCAACAGTTATTAAAGCGAATAATGTACACTTTACTGTGAAACTGATGTTATGTGTCTATTTACAAGCTCTAGTTTTAGTGCACATTAACCACACATATTGTAGATCTACTGCATTGTATTACGATACATGATTTCATTTACTGCACACATATGCAGTGGATCTCGATTGCATGGAGACAGTATGGAGGGGGGCTTTTCCTAGGCTAGTTTTGCTAAGTGTGTTCAGATTGATGTTAGCTAATAAAGTTTGATTTACAGGAAAGAAGATATCTCTGCTGAATGAAAACAAAGGTTTCGTCCAAGGCGTCGCCTGGGATCCCAGGGACACTTACTTCACCACCCTCAGTTCTGACCGGTAAATGTTTGAATTTTACTGGTGTCATGCTTTTCTAAGGGACCCTACAACACCTTTCCAAGTTGTCATAGTATTGCCTTACTATTGGAACCTGTTTCCTCAAAAATATCGAAGCTCAGAAATGTTTGAGTTCATCACACGTAAGTCGGGTTATCCCTCGAGATTTAGGCTTTCTCTCTCGTTTTGCCATGAAAGTGCTAGGAAATATGCAGGGTGTGCTTACACAGAACAATTATTGTAGTTTAGACTGCAATAGCCCAATTTTACAAATTCTCCACCCGGTGCCTATAAAGCTCAGTGTTGACACCTACTCTAATTAACGAAGCTACAATGGCACTAAACTCATTTCAGTAAAACTTTTTGATGAATAAATGGGTGAAAATTCAGAGATACCTTTCTAACTTTGACGATCAAAAGTTTTGCTTCAGGCTTGCAGTGCAGCGCCAAAACTTTTGGCCGCCATAGTGATGGCCGCAGTTTTTATTTTGACGAGGCTGCAAGCTGTGCCCACGCGCAGAACATACTCAACAGTCGGTAGCGCTTTTGTGTACTAAAGGACACTGGGGGTGGTTTGTTGTTCCTGTGAATGCTCCCACAGGAACATGGAGGCTAACTTGGTCATTTATAGGCTTTTGCGACAGATGATACTTATCGTCTCCTTACATCTTTTTTATCCTGCCTGCTTGCACAACCACGGCATTCATTCTCCCCTTCCTTGCCATGTCTGTAACCTGTCGTAGTTATGCGTGGCAATGTACCTTGCGTGTATGGTGTGGACATGGGAAGCACCGTGTCGAGGCTGCCCTCGCGCTCTTTTCACATGCACAGGCGTGTGTCAATGGCAAACAAAATGCCACGGTAGCTTTTGGCTGTCCCTATGGTACGGTTTTTCATTGCAGAGGATGAGTAAATTCCTTTCATGATTTTACAAACATCCCAGTTTAAGGAAATAATTTGGGTGCCGCCACCACTTCATTCAACCACGTTTCAGCTGTGTACTGGAAGATGATGGCACGTCGCGAAGATTGCACATGAAAAAGCTATTATTCATCTTTTGGTTTATGTGACAAGCAAGGACAATTTAAAAAAAAAATCAACAGGTCACTTCTTAACTTTGTCGACACTTTGAATGCTGCTCAATCAGAGGTATGAATGCGTACCATCTAGCGCTGTTTTCTATTCTGGCGCTTTTTATATGTTTCTCTGTTGCCCTGAACCATCAGGCGCATGCAACTGCGGGCAATCAGTTGACGAGCTTGCAGTGCGTGCTGCAGTTTGTCTCGGTGCTGCTGCTAGGGAAGGTGCAGCTTGTCCTTGTACAGAGCAATATCAATATCTGTGGGCTGCCTTTGGATGAAATGATCGTGAGGCACTGACAGTTGGCACTGTTTTTGCACTTTTTTATGCATCACATTGTTCTCTTGCGATCATTTGACTTTCTTGTTAGCTTCATCTTGTAAAGTGTTAAATTTACCGTACTTGCCTTTTATAATAATTTTCTTGAAGCCAGTATTGGGTGCAGCCTCTTCATTTGTTCCCGACCTGTATTGAGCTGTTAAATATTCCATGTGGACAATAAGCTCCCTGCCTTTCTCTCGATTTGTTCTCTCTCTCTATCCGTATAGATAACATATCCTGCTTTGTAGGTACTATTTTATTTTGTGAGCAAATAACCTCCCCTCATGTCGAATGAGTCCTCATGTCTATTAAGCTCTACTAGCAAGTTGAGCATCCTTTTTGTTGGCCTTGTGTCCCTTTTGCCATTGTAGTTTACGACAACAAATGTCTCACTCTTGATCCTGGAAAGGAAACAGTGTAACTTGCAGTTCTCTGTTTAATTTTTTCATGCAGGTCATTGCGTATATTCAAGGTCAGCAACAAAAAGGTCGCCTACAAGATACACAAGGCAGTTGTCCCCCATGAAGGGCTCAGCGATAAGGTAATTCTTGATATAAAAAATTCAACACATATGATCATGACTTGCACATTCATTCAATGTTAAGCCATGAATGAGGGAAACCTTGGAAAGGAAGTGTTGATGACAAGTAGGCTGGTAAGGTAATGTCTTTTGAAAGTAATTCACTGAATTATGGGAGCAAAAGCTGAGCATGTCTTGAGAATGCATGAAAGTGCAAGGGGCATAGGTTACAATGTACCATCTCTGACTTCCTCAAGCAATATTTCATGACGTTAGGGCCCTGCACACTACCACATATTGCAAATTGTTGAAGGTACCTAATGTGGAGCTCTGAAATATAAAATTGCATCTGAAAGCTGTCATAACTGTATCCTGAATCTGAACAAGAACTTCTGGAAACTTGTTGGTCCTGTGGGAGTAAAGGCAGACAGTGCATTTCAGAGGCTAACTGTGAGTCAGAGTGTCCCTACAGGCGATTGTGACCTGCAGCGTTCAAGCATGGCAAGGTACTGATGTTGATAGTGCACCTTTTTACTGCTTCTTGTGCTTTCACTGTACAGAATAAAGAATGATTGATTTAGTATCAATAGTAAACTTCGTGTCACGTTCTTCGAAGCTTCCTATTTTTAAAACGAACACTTTCAACATGATTGATTGATTTGTGGGGTTTAACGTCCCAAAACCACCATTTGATTATGAGAGACGCCGTAGTGGAGGGCTCCGGAAATTTCGACCACCTGGGGTTCTTTAACGTGCACCCAAATCTGAGTACACGGGCCTACAACATTTCCGCCTCCATCGGAAATGCAGCCGGGAATTGAACCCGCGAACTTTCAACATGGTCAAGGCGCGTGCCCTGGTGTAGTGGCGCGTGACCTTCTGCAGTTAATTTGCGACAAAGATATCGTAGACCGCCGTGAGCACAGCACGCACATATCGGACTCTGCGAGTAAAGTCACCCAATTTCCAGGCGTATCTTCAGTCAGCTAATGACAGGGAAGGAAAAAAAATAGGCGGCGGCATGAAAACTCGTGGTTAGCTTTCGCACTGCAACCATTTCTGACGTCATTCCCTGCATAACTATAACAACTTCCACGTGGTTGCGGCGATGCCTTCATGGATAAGCATCACAAATGAATGAAGCTGCGAAGTGGCCCCCCAAATGAACGCAACATTTGACATATTGCCTGCAGCCTTATCGCAGTCATCTGAAGCTGTGTGCCCAGCTGTGCATCTGGTGTAAAGTGCATAGATTGACGGCAGTACGATTTTCCCGCCGCGCCCTGTGAGACCGTTTTAAACTGTACGTTGCTTTGTAAAAGCGTAAATAGCTCGCTGGTGTTGAGTGAAGCAGACACCGAAAAATGACGATGCACTGACAGCGAGCGTGCGCTGCATGTTTTATTAGGCGACGACCCAAGCGCACTGCATGTCTTTCACATTACTTGCAAAATGCTTGTCTTCACTGTGTCAAACGAACGGGCTACCCGCCGCATGTTTGCACTGTCTGGAGTGAAGGACGCACGAAAATGCGCAAATGGGCACATACAGTATAAAGCAAATGGCTCGGCAGTGATAGCATGAGCAGAGTTGGAGATGGGCCGTAAGCATCAAGCCATCGATGATAGACTCCACAGGGAAGTAACGCGCTTTAGTGAAACAGTGTTGATTCATTGCAAAGCCTGTTTAATTCACTCATATGCATGCATCGGGCTTCAGCTGAGTACGCTAGAAAGCTTTGCATGTCACCAGAGGAACTGTTTGTACTTTTTAATAAAGAGCACAGAACAAAAACCAGCTTTGTTGTGAAGTGCCAGTTTTTAAGGGTGGATTCATATACACTCAAACCTCATTACAACAAAGTTTCATCTTACCCCAAAATAACTTCGTTATATCAGAAAATTCATTCTGAGTGTGTATTCCTAGCACTGTTTCTATTACAAGGCTATTCTTCATTTGCTTAACCATAACCAATATTTTGTTATATGTATTCAGGTTCATTATATAGAGGTTTGAGTGTACAGTAACCACTTCTCACGACACTTTCGAGTTTATTGTAAGCTGGATTGGTCCGTTGGCTCAAACCTGAACTGTAAAAGCAATCAACCTTCCACATATAATGTTACTGGGCAGAGTCTAGTTAACCTCTCTGCCTTTCCTATATTCCTTCTCTCTCTCTAGCAACAGCAACATTTAGCGCCGAATGCTAGCTCACAAACATTGTACATTGTAACTACCCCTTGATGCGGCCGGCAACACTCGCCGTCACTTATGTGCCGCATGCTTGCACACAAGTCGCGTACAATGAGCTCAATTCCTGCTAAAAAACCAAGTGAGCAGTTTGCGGTAATCAATAAAATTCGTAATAAATCTGCACACTTCTCAAGCCCACTTTTTTGCATACATGGAAGTGTACAAGGGAACAGGCACAGTGAACTTCTTCGAAATCCTTTGACCCCCCAAAACTGACAGAGTCGCCTTTAATAGGATGTTGATGATTTTATTTTTGCGTGCACCCTCCGCGGCTGCATTTCCAGTGGATACAAAAAGGCTTGAGGTCCGTGTACTTAGATATAAATGCACGGTAAAGAACCACAGGTAGTAGAAATCGCCAGAGCGATTTTTTACTTTTCAAGTACCAGGAAAATATGCTCCGTTTAACAGGAGTTTCATTTACCATAAAATGAACAGGATTGTGAATTCAAGTATGAAACCAATCATGTTATAGGTAGCACTTCTTTTATTCAGCAGTTCAACAGACCTTTTCATTTACTGAGAGCTCACAGTATATTCTTGTAACACGTGATTATTCCAGAGCGAAATAGTAACCAAATTTGGTGCATCTCTTTCTTTTTTTTTTTTCTTTTTTTAGGAGAAAGGAACTAGGTTGTTTTATGACGATACATTGAAGTCCTTCTGTCGGCGGTTAGCATTCTCGCCCGATGGTGAACTGCTGGTGGCACCTTCTGGCATCATAGAGCAGGACAGCGGCAGAGTGGTGAATGTGGTTTACGTCTTCGCTCGGAGCGATCTTTCTGAGTGAGTTATTACTTCAGACTGGCCTACCTGCAGCAGTGGTGTGCTGGTGTTCACTACGTGTTTCTGCAACTCTGACACTGTAGTACTAACTCTCGTACTAAAGATTTGAATTTTAAGGTCTGATATCAGAAGGAGGGAGCACCGTTATGTATTTCGTTTAGTTAAAACGGAATTGGTTGTATGCGAAAAGAGCTAGAAACTAAACCAGACTGCATCAATCACCTGTAAGTGATAAAAGCTCTAAAGAAATCTTGAAGTTTAGTATGACACAGGTTTTAGTGTTATGTAAACCCGAAAGAAGTGCATGTGCAAGCTTTCTCTTTTTTGTTTTATTTATAGTTAATATAACTATACATCTATATATTGACGTATTTTATATATTTCAGATTATAATTATCAACTTGTCACTGCACTGGTATCAATAAAAATAGAGCAAAAGATAGCCTCTCAGTCAAATGTGAAGTGGCATTCCTTTCTAAACATTCTTATGAGGCAGGCACTACTAATGTTTTCTATGTATAATTGCAGTCACTGTTGTGCTTGATGATAGGTTTGTGAGTGCTACGTGCTACGTTCTAAAGCGTGCTACCTTGCAGACCGGCCTACTACTTGCCCATCGGAGAGAAGCCAAGTTTGGTTATACGCTTCTGTCCACTTTTTTTCAAGCTGCAGATGCCTGGTGTGAACGATGGTAAGTCTTCAATAAGCCCAGTGTACGGGCCACTGGCATGCATCCTTCATACTGCAACTTTCTACATTTTCATAACGCAGAAAGGAAAAGATGTACTCGCACTTTCTCACTAAAATTACTAGAGGGAACACTAGCATAGCAAGTACTCAGCTGTAATTAGAAAGACTGTTTGTTAGGCTTGTGCGAATAGTAAATTTTAGGTTCAAGGCAAATGGTGATTCGTTTTGAATAATTCCTAATCAAATTCGAATAGTGCATACACATATTCGTACATATTGTTGTACATATTACATATTACAAAGTACATATATAAATATATATGTACAATAGTACATGTTATAAAGAAAAATGAGAATGTTTGTCATGACCCTACTAAACTGGGCAATATTTTTTTATTGTTATTATTGAAACAAGGTGCGAGGAAATGTTTAATGGTTCAAAGGAAGTACAATAGAACTTCGATTATGCGTCCCATAGTTTTGCGACGACCCCAATTTACGGCGAATCTGTCTGGTCCCGGCGAAATCTCCATAGGAATAATGTATTAAAAACCTTGTCTATACGACGCAGTTTTACGCCGACCTCTCATCTTACGACGACTTTCATATTCCGTCCATAGGAGAAAAAAGCACATTTACTCGAATCAAACAATGACCAGATATATCGTCACACGGCAGGGGTTTGTTTGCATGCGGACTATTATGCAGCTATTCGTTCGTTGCGAATACTTAGAATTTTCTGATAATTTAAATTCAAATTATAGCAAATTCAAATACGTTATTCATTCGAATATTCGAAGTGTTCGAATATTCACACGAGCCTACTTTTTGTACATGCATATGGCTTGCCTGTATGCTTTCACTTTTCTGTAGTACACTTTATGTACCTTTACTCGACTAAATTTCATTTCAATCCAGTTTTCATACATACAGAAAGTAGTAAGATTTGATGACAGTGGATCAAAGGTTATGGTGCTCGACTACTGACCCAAAGGTCGCAGGTGTGATTCCGGCCGGGACAGTCGAATTTCCGTGGACGCTAAAACGTAGAGGCTCGTGTACTGTGGGATATCAGTGCAGGAGAACACCTCACAATTGAAATTTCTGGCGCCTTTCGCTACGGCATCATATCATCGGTTGCGGGATGTGAAAGCCTAAATACTATTCTTATTATTTCTGCAAATATGTAATCAATTGAGACGATTTGGAATGTTTTGATGAAAGGATCGGCTTCAAGTATACAAAGTTGCCCGAAGCTAAGGACACAAAGTAAATCCATGTGCTGGCCATTGTCAGGATCTTTTAAACTGCCACACTTGAATATTTCATAGATGCTACTGTCAGAGCCCTTTCTAGTTGTAAAACTGAGAAACTGCATCGTAACAGACATATGGAGGAATGAATGCGTGTGTGTCCTACTGGAGGGGGGATTTCTAAAGGGCAGTTCACACAGAGATTTCAAACTCGAGATGGTTAGGTTTTGTTCTGTTGTCCTGCATATGTAGGTACCTCTGACTGATTATTGGTGGTAAAGTTAAATGTGAATGTGTACTAATACGACTTCAAAGTAGTCAAGAGTCCTCGTCTGAGTTGACAGGGCCACACAACATTGTCATCAGTGATGCGTCTAAGAGCTGCACATTTGTGACATTTTTCCCCTTTTCATGAGTATTGTTGAGATCACGGATAGAACAGTAGACGAATTTGTGCGATTCAGAATAAGGGATAGTGTCTTTCTCGTTCTTTGCTCAGTTGTTGGCGTGCCGTCTAGTTGTTTCCAGGTTCGCACTGCAATAACATTTTAAGGAGCCTAACATCCTTTTAAGAGGGTGCAGGCTCTGGTCCATGAATGTCAGGCTGGGTAGGTGGATGCATTGCATTGTCGCTTTATACTTGGTGTCCCGTAACGGACGAAAATTTCGAAATAGTCGCATGCCTACGTGTGTGCTGCTTGGCTGATATTGCAACAGCCATGTTGTTTCATTCTTTATCACATGTGAGGCCCCAGTTTAAAAAAAATGCCCACGTCAATGTCATCAAAGTTAGTGCACGAGATATTATGTCCAGGTCAGTTGCAAACACCGTAGCAGGATGCAAGTTTGCAATATTGGATGTGAAGCAATGGCATAATGTGTCATAATCAAGGATGATTTCATTAATTACCATATTTTCTTCAGTATAACTAACTCCTACATAAATCTGCCCCTTTAACTTATAGTAACAGAATAGAAAGTTGGGCGAGTTGGTGTATATTCATATTAAAAGAAAAGCGGCGCACAAAAAGACGGAGACAAAGAAGAGAACCACACACAGCGCTGCATTCACAACTGCATTCACAGTTGTGAATGCAGCGCTGTGTGTGGTTCTCTTTTTTGTCTCCGTCTTTTTGTGCGCCGCTTTTCTTTTAATATGAACCTTTAACTTAACCTCTTCAAAAATGAAACTGCGTGTAACCTGCACACCCGTACTCTTTAAGCACATTTTTCTGTATTTTTGGTGGAGGGTATATGCACGACAATGTTATATGCTACATAAGAGCATTTATGATTACGTCTCTTGTGATTATAAAATTAGACATACTCACTAAAGTGTAAAAGTGACAAAAAATTAGCTGTGCTTTTGTGTAGTTATTCAAATGGGATGCAGATGACTATACGCCTGATCTCGGCGCTGGCTTTCACGAAGGTGGTAGGGTAGGGAGAGCATCTGCTGCACTTGGTGGCGGTAATGACTGAGCAAGTAAGAGTGCGTTGCGGGTGGTGCAGTGCAAGCCGGCCCAGGCAATGTTTAAGGGGGAGGACAGAGAATAAGAAAGAGGGAGAGGGAAGCGGACAGTTGGGAGAAGGGCGCGGGCCTAAGGAGGCTTCGCTCCTATCAAGGAATCGGTGCTGAAAGTAAGGCATGAAAGATCAATGTGCATTTGAGAGTAAGACCTTCCTAGCTTTCATTTGTATATTTTTTGGATGTTGGCTTGTAATTGATGCTGTCGTGGATATGAATAGAAATACTTGCATAAGGAACCTGACAGACAGTTTGTCTCTGTTTTATTCATAGATGGAACTAGCAAGGAAGAATTTGAGGAGGCACTAATAAGGTAATGTTGATTCACATCACTCTTGGCTGTCTCCTTTCGTTTCCTGCGTGTCTGTTGATGATTTCTCTGTTGTTTGCTCGCAGCTTGCCCTACAAGATGGTGTTTGCCGTGGCCACGCAGAAGGCCATATTGTTGTATGACACTCAGCGCAGTGCACCTTTTGCCCACATCTCCAACATTCATTACACAAGGCTCAGCGACTTGACTTGGTATGTCCCATTTCATTGGTCCTTCTGTGTTAATTGCAAGTCTCGCTCAAGAAGCAAGGAAACTGTACGTTGCTCTGGCAACCAGAACGTCGTCTCCTGCTAGCAGACTTCGCACTGCATTAGTGTTTCGGAAAGTATTTTTCTTAGTAGTTAGATTGTGTGGCGGACTTGCCCACGTTGATATGATCAAAGATGAACCGGCTTTCCCCTAATCTATGGGAGTGGCCAGACCAAAATCTCGGCAGTCTTTCACTAACTGTGACTTGTCTGAGAATAGTAGCGAAAGTTGGGCTAGTTGGTGGTTCATACTTGGGAAGTAAAAACAGCGCAAAAATATAGACAAGGACAGACAAAGAGACGACACCATGCTGAACTCGCAACTAAACTTAATTGATAGATACATGCACATATATTAAGCATTTGATCCGGTCCCGTGGACAACCAAAGGCGTCTGCGCATCAAAGCGAGCAAGGTATGAAACAAGCCTAATCATATTGATTATACACACACATATATCAAGCATTTGATCCGGTCACGTGGACAACCAAAGGCGTCTGCGCATCAAAGCGAACAAGGTATGAAACAAGCCTAATCATGTTGATTATCAATATGATTAGGCTTGTTTCATACCTTGTACGCTTTGATGCACAGACGCCTTTGGTTGTCCACAGTACTGGATCAAATGGTTAATATATGTGCGTGTATCTTTCAATAAAGTTTAGTTATGAGTTCAGCGCGGTGCCGTCTCTTCGTCTGTCCTTTTCTATATTTTTGCGCTGTTTTTACTTCCCAAGTTGTCTGAGAATACAGCTTAACTCAGTATTAGTTTGCAAAAGTGGCAACGCAACAAGAAAGCTGTAAATGTTACTGTAGTAGCAATCAGATTCTATTCACTTTGTTCAGTGGATGCTTGCTTCATTAATTTCCCTGGCACTTTACACTACGAAGGTTGGAGTGAGCTTTGAGCCTTCATCGTTAAAAAAGGGGGGGAGGGGGACTATTTATGCTTCAAAAGCGTGATATGATTGAGGCATGCTATAGTACTAGCTGGGGTTCTTTGACATGCATCTTAGCCCATTTGGCAGGCATCTTTTCCGAATAAATTTGTCTTGTTTTTCTCTAGGTCTTCCGATGGCCGGGTGTTAGCTGCTTCGTCGACTGATGGCTACTGTTCCTTGATCACTTTTGGGGAGAAAGAGTTGGGCGAGGTCTACGATGGCTCTTTCCCTTACAAGGAAACTGTAGAAAACACTAGGTACGTGCATAAACTTTTTCTATATATGTATAGTTAAATCCCATATCGCATACAAGTGAGACCCAAGATACCTGGAGAAAGTTTCTCTTGTAACCAGATACAGTAAAATCCCACTACAACAAAGTTCGCTACACACAACAAATAATTTCCAATTTCCCGTCAGCCACCCATAGAAAACAATGTGAAAAATGTGTCATCACAACAAATGCTTTTCCTGCATATTCTTGCTTTAACAAAGTTATTTCGAGTATTACACCTGAAAAAAAAGGAACTTTCCTAGTATTGCCGCAAAATTCCGCTACCAACTTATGACATCCAGAGTGCACGGCCATATATGGTCATAGATTTATATCGCAGCAACCGTGTCTTCATCGGAATCACACTTTCTGCCACCACATATGCACATCCCGCTAAATTTATCGCCACTGAGATTCTCAGCAACAACTCGCCCATCCACCTTGACATTGCCAGTGGACTTGATGTACGTGCGGGCCGTGACAGAATCACAAGTTTAAAGAACCCCCGCCATGTTTTTGAAGTCGTGCTCAAAACAAAACTACTGTTCGTCGTCACTAACCATGCGATCATGAATGACAATCACGCGTCGTGAAGGTGCACACACGAGCAGCCCCAGCATAACTGCATTCTGCCGCAACCGCTGCGGACACAAATGTGGTCTTAAATGCAAACATTTTGACAGAACTCCATCTGGTTGAGTGGAAGATTACGGAAGTTGAATTGCCTCCAGCCACAATCTTGGAGAGAACCCGACGTTTCGAGACCGGCTTGGTCTCTTCCTCAGGGGTGGCTGTAATGGTCAGGGAAGTGTCGACGCGCCTTGTCCTAGGCTTCGACTTTCCCTTTTCCTCATGTTTTGGAGGTCGTGCACGTACCGTGAAAACCGGAATATAGGTTGGATCGGAATATAGGTCGACCCCCTCAAACTTTGAATCTCCGAATAAGAAATTTTTAAAAATCGCAAAATATCGTAGCTCACCCATACGTTGGTAAATACGTGACGCAACCAGCTGCATTGTGGGGACATTTTTTTATTTAGACACCAATCTTATGTAGTTAAACGACATAACGCCACAAAGCACTATCACTCGGACTCGTTCAACGACGTCTGTTTTTCACTAGTAATGTCCCAGAGTGCATCATCCTCCGTTCCATCCAGTGCATTTCTGATGCAGCATTTGCAGAAAGACGGAAGTACGCTGCCTCAGCTCAAAGCCCTTCCGCTTCATAAATCGGCACACCCACGGTGGCGATCCCTGGAAATGCAGCCTCGTGAGCCCAGAGTCGTGCACTATCTTGAGAGCTTTCACGCGGATACACTCTGCTGTTATGGGTAGCAGCCTTGCACGCAGCTCCTGGACGAATTTGGCGAGTAGCGTTTCCAGTTCGGGGTGCACTGCAGTCTGTCCATGAAACGATGTCTTTTTTGATTGCTGCGGATGTGATGTGCTGCTTTTGGCTCCTCCACTATCAGACACTTTTCTCCAATGCAGCGAATTCTCGTTGTGCACTCAGCATCACTTTGACGTTGCTTTGCACTTGGCGGACCTTCTTTGGTCTTGGTGATGTTGAATGCTTCCACTATGACTACTGGGATTTGTTTTCCAGGTCGTACTCGTACACCGAAGACTCATCACCGGTGATAATGATATTCATAAAGTTAGGGTCACTGCTTGTGAAATCCAGCATGTTCTGTGAGACTTTAACACGAAGTTGCCTTTGCTCCACCGTGAGCAGCTTTGGCACGAATTTCGTTGCAACTCTCTTCATGGCCAAAGCTTCGGCTATAATGGAACGTGAAGAGAAAGTGCTGATGCCAACCTCTTCTACAGTTTTCCAGATAGTCACACAACGGTCCCACATCACCGCAACGTTCACTTTGGCAATGATCTGGTCATTTCGGCATGTTGATGGCTGACCGTAGCGTGGCTCGCTCTCCACCGATGTGCAGCCGTCTTTAAATGGGTCGTACCACTACTTAATCTTTGTGCGGCTCATAGCATTGTCATCAAAAGCCGTCTTGATCTTCCGAATGGTTTCCACTTGGCTGTCTCCCAGTTTCTGACAAAATTTGATGCAGTAGCGCTGCTCCAGTCGCTCCGTCATTTTCCTTGCAATGGAAAACCGACGAGAGCACTGGGCACTACCCACTCAATCTCTAAGTCCCAGCGACTGACGCTATTGGCAGGTGGGAAAAAATTCACGAATGCGCATGAAGGATCAATGTCGACTGATGCAAGCGCGCTTGTCTAACATCCGTCAGGTGCTCGTAAAAAAAGTAAGGTCAGATACTTTTCTAACAGACCTCGTATATATACTTGTTAACATTTCAAGTAAACACTAGCGTCGAGTTCCTAAATGCCGCCGCGATCGGCAATTTCAAATGCGGCAGCGCTATGAGCTGCATGTGTACGACAAAATGAAAAGAACAGTCCTTTGCTTCTCTCGTGGCCTTTTGGTATCCCCAGAGTTGGTAGTAGCTTCACCATGCACTTCTTGTCAAGTCGTCCACAAAAAGAACCTGTTTGTCTGCTTGAGGGTACGCACACTCTCTGGTCTTCTTGGTTGCGCAGCGAGGAGAAGCACTCAACCATTAGCATAGATGAGCCAACTAATGGAGCATAGCAAAAGAAAGAGCAAAATGAGCGAGGGCTTCTCTTAGGTCATCAGCCACATGTAACTCTGCTACTACGGCACTGTTCCGGAAAACTGTCACGGCTGCATGTTTGTTCCAGACTCGAGCACAACTGGAATACGACTAAACTTCGATCTCTAGTTTGTTAAAAACCTTTTAAAGTGCAACTATGCTGTTTTTAAGGTCAGTATATCTCAATAAGGTTCAAACAGCTAGAGGTTCCAGTCAAAATCAAATAGTTTCACAGGAAACAAATTCACAAGCTATCATGAGTGTTCCCAATCTACGTCTGAGTTTACGGTTTTATGCTGGGTACCCTGTTAGTCCCTACATAGGTACAGTCAATCCTGGATGTACTGAAATCGAATGTATTGAATTATTGGTTATATTGAACAGTTGAGGAATCCCCTCGAATGTCCCACGCATAAGAATGAGACCGTTGCACCCGTATATTGACCTCCCGCACAGCAAGACATCAGCTATATCGTACGCTGCACCAAAGCCCAAAAAGTGCATTTTTCTGACCAAGTATTGATCAATATTCGGCCGCGTGCTAACAAGTTTCGATCCCTGTCTGCGTGTAGGTGACAAAAAGGCGGTGTTATTCCATTGCGCTGATCTGGTTCGTCGCGCGGCGCTCGCGAGTGCACCGGTATGTTTTATGCACAATCTGCAGGTCTTAACGTGTGGGCATAGCATAGTGTTTAAAAAAAGACCAATTGCTGAGGACACCAAAATGAGAATGCGAAGTGACTCGGTGATCTCGTTGCAATGTTCGCATTCCCTTTCTTGTTTGTTGGCGCACAATAGCATGCGAGCCTGAAAAGCGTAACCTTTGAGATGTGCAATCTCGTGCCATATATTCAGTGTTTTCAGTTTTAAAATGCATGTCTCGGAGGCTACGCTTTTTCTAGCTTTTTGCATGACAGCAGCTGAAAGCAGCGGCTGCCGGCTACAAAGCCACGAGTGACATCGGTATTACCAACATGCGAACGCTGGGAACACGGCGTTGCCTTTTGCGCCTTGTGGTCTTTTGTACTTCTCGCCCCGTTCCTAATAAATCCTGTTTCGGGAGTTGAACAGAGCGTTAACCCGCACGCAGTAGTGAAAATTATGACCGGTGCTTGGAGGGACGTCAATTAAAGCACCGTCATAAACTTTTCTTGAGGGCAAGGTGACGACTTCGGGTGCGTCATGACCACTGACAACGGCTTACAGTGCGTCAGTGAATTCTGCGACTTATCAGCATTTCTGGGCATCATCTCGGACAGTTAGCAACTTCATTGGTGCAAGATCATGGCTGCCATTGCCGGTACCGCGGAAGTGTGCCCGTACGGTTATGATTATGCCTATGCCTTCGCTGCCACCGCTAACCAAACTTCGCCGCGCTGTAAAACTTGCATCGATGTTCTGCGTCAATCAACGCTGTTGTGGCCAAAGTATTTGAATTCGATTATTTGAAAAGTGTAATGATATTGGGAATGACTGGAACTTCATGGCGCACAAGAAGCAAGACATGTTTACGGACAAAATGAAGTGCAGAAACTTGCAGTTCACTTCTTGTTCTTCCTTATACTGCGAGCGAATCAATATGTTAGCAGTTGTAACGATTTCCGAGGCCTGAAATGCTTTAATTTAGGCCTTAAATATGCATATTTTGTGTTTCAAATTATATATTGAACTATTTCACGATCCCCTTCGAGTTTGATACACCCGGATCAACTGTACCTACATTGTTAGCAGGCAACAGAGTTGAGTACACAACCAGAGTGAACACTAAAGTTGTTGCAAAAACCATACGCTGACCTACAGGTGCCGACCGCCAAAGTATTTTAGCACAGCATTACTGCTAATTGCTCAGTAGTTGCTGCTATTTTTCAACTAATTCACAGGGACACCACTTGGTAATCAGTGCTGCAAATCTACATCAACTAGACCGCAGTTATACCTTAATATAATAAGTTTGATAAAATCTGCACTTCACTTTGCAGTACCGAAATTCAACATCTTAGCATTGTCCCTGATGCATTTTTTCTGCTGACTCATAAGGAACCACAAGGAAACTTGAGAGGAATAATGACAGTATGAAAAAAAGCAAAAAACTAAACTTTGTTGATATCTGAGGGAATTAGGGCACCCAGGATTTCTCTAAGAGGGGGGGGGGGGGCGAAACTTGAGATAAAACTAAAGTACCACTACTAAATAATTATTATAGGCTATATTACCTGCAATATAATAATGAATATTATCAATATTGTTATTATTATTGTAGTGACACGTATCCCGAAGGAGTGCGGCCACTAGCGTGGGTCCGGTCTTAGCGAGCCGCAGGGCACGCGTTTACCGT